TTCAACTCCTGTGCTACCATTCGTTTAAGAAGGGGTTCTTGGATGGCTTGGATAGCTCTTTCAGCATAAGATTGCTGTTTATGCCTTCCTGGTTCACCGAACCTCATCATTACTCCTAGGCTGTTCAGGAAAAAATCACGCACCTGGTCGTTAGTGAATTCTGATCCGGAGTCTGTCTCCAGTCGGTGTGTTGGAGGCTTGATACGATTTCTTCTGTAGATTTTGACAAATCCATTGAGAACCCTATTTGCTGTCTTATCCTTTAGGGGTTCTGCATCGACTTTTTTTCCTGCAACTTCCACCACTATGAGAAAATAGTGGAATCCTTTGGGGTCAACTGGCATCTCTGCAAGATCTGCCTGATGTGTTGCATTTGGTTTCCATACAATTACCTTTGGGCGTTCTGTTGACTTTTCCTTTAGGGGCTTTTTGTATAGGTTGTAATGCTCTTCACCTTTTAAAATTCGGGCTGGTACTCTGGATAGACTGTAGTACTTGTAGTAATTCTCTAATTGTGATATATTACGACAAATTAAAGAAAAGATTTCAGACTTCAAATCTTAAGATGACACGTTTTTACTGTCTAAAGTGCAAGAAGGAAACTGAGACTGCTAGTGAAATACAAGATATGACTACAAATGGGCGTTATCGGCTGCATGGTGACTGCACAATTTGTAGTATGCATAAGAATACTTTTACTGGAATAGACTGGGTGATCAAGAAGAAGACTAAGGAGAAAAGGAAAGAAACCGCTGCTAAGAGACAGCAGACAGCTTACAATCGGCAATGCAAAAAACTTGGACAGAAAATCTTAGATTCTGATGATGCGTGTAAACAGTGTATTGATAAATGCCTTAAGGAGGCAAAAAAGAGGAAGACAGATTAGTACTGTCTTCTAAACTTATCTGGATATGCTCTATTCTCAATACCTATTGTTCAATTACTTATTTTTTCTGACAGGGGTGGGACGGGGTTGGTCTTACTGGCTCTATAGACCTTCTAGGGGCTTACCTGCTAACTTACCTGGTTTGCTACCTCACTGCTTCCAACAGATTATTAGACGGAATCCTGACTTGTTCCAGATGTTCTGAATGTGGCAGATCTGGAGGGGGTAAAAATAAAACTTTTTCTGGGGGGATGTCCTCTCATAATTTTTCTGAAACATCTGCCACATCTGCCACATCCGGGACAACCCTCTCATTATATCCGTTATTGCTTCCTTTTCTATTATTTTATAGTTATTTGGTATATATATTTGTTCCAGATGTTGTCCCAGATTGTGGCGGATATATGGGGATTCCTGAGCCCCGTAGGGGCCATATAGGTACTGCGACGGGTCATAAACCCAGCTTGCATCTCTCACATCCAGCCCGATGACTTTGATCGGGCTAAACGACGCATTTTTCATATGAAAAAACACAATCCTCTCGATCATCAGCAACATCGATTTGCTACAGTGCAATGATATCAGTTTATGTTTACCGAATACAATTTGTTCTTAAACCCATCAAACATCTACTTTACAACCAAAGTCTTCATCATAGAAATTACAAATTTTGGACGCCTTTTTTTGGACGTCCTGGTAGAAAAATTATGACTAATATCGTTGAGGACACTCCATCACTTAATATAGTTTGTATGGTAGCCCCGTACAATCCTATCCCTAATATGTTTATTCCTCACAAATATCGTAATATAATTCCTAAGGATCCTCTTTACACCGCTGATGGTGCATATATTATTCCTGGTTCTAAAGAATGGTTCACCTATATGTATAATTTACACATCAACTTGCCTCCACCACTTACAAAAGCACAACGTCGTGCCTTATTACGACTAGAGAATGAGTGTATTGAGAATATCAGAATAATTAAAGAAGATGCAATTCTTCAGGGGACTTCATGTAATCATGTCAATAGTCGAAAACATTTGGCATTTACGTTAACCAGAATTAGTGAGCATGTTCACTATGAAATGACAGATTATACAAATGAATACTTGGTATCTGAGGATGAAAAGATCAAATCAGACATTTATAAGAAAATGAGTAATTTTACCACATTAATGATTGATGCATCTAAAGAGCGTATTAGTGACTCCAAACGGGTTTGCAGACGGACTAACATCCTTCCTCCAGGAGCGACATCAGACACTTCCAACAATGCTAAAGAACTTGAACTTAGACCTAAAAAATGAAGAATTTCTTCGCATACTAACCTTTACCCATTGATTGACAACACAGACCGATTTAAACGTAGACGTTTCTCTCCTGCCGTTATGGATGACTCAACAGGAGCAGAGCTTTATTGATATTAAACATTTATATTTGATTTTGAGTCAAAATTTTTTCTACTTACCAGTAGTTTATTTCTACATCTTATTTACTTTTTTATAATTAACACCCAATTTGAGTAACCAAAAAATAATTTAGAATAGTGTGAACTATTCCAACTATGACAGTATTTACAGTTGGCGCCCTTTTAGGCGAAAGAAAAATACGGGACTTCTCACCCCTTATAGAAGTTCATTTTTATACATTTAGAAGCTAATGATATTATTAATTATAATTCTCCTTCATCTACAGACATTTGTTTATTTTATAATGTATAGTTTTGCCACACTTAATTTTTATATATAAGATATTTTATTTACATGATAATTTACCATATTAATGTAGTTATTAGATAGACGTTCATTATTTTTTGGTTTTCTAGTTCTCTGTTTCCTTTTACCTGCTCCTTCATTGGTCGTGTTGTTGGAGCAGTCTATTATATATAATAATTAGGTAGGATCTGCCCCTTGGGATAGATGATGGACTAAATGTTGGGCACACTCCTTAGGATAAATGCTCTCTTAGAATAGTTCTTCTGACTTTACATAAAATAAAATAAATAAATAAAATAAATAAATTAAATAGGAGATGAGGTTATGTTAAACAGAGTATCCACTTGGTCTGTCCTAACCTAACCCCTAACTCTAATAAATATTACAATTTTAGATACACAAAATGTATGGTAAATGTCCCATCATTTTGAAAATATGTACATAGAATGTAATTATATAATGTTTATTAATACATTAATTGAACAATCTTGATATGGAATAAACTAATAAAAATTATTTATATGAAATTCATTCTCTAAGTTAAAATGTTCAGTGTTTTCAAATTTGAAGTATTGTTTAGTAATTATTTTTAAAAAATGAAGTTACTTAGGCTTAGCTTACTTAACTTTTAAAGAAACTTTATTAAATAATAATTTATACTTAATTGAAATATATGAATAACTCTTTGAAGTTTATTTATTAATAATTTTATAGAAGAAATAACATTATGTGCTTTTTTATAATTAGACTGTATCTTAGTACTTGTAAAAAATTATTATTAAATATTATATAAAATTATGGACACGAGACGGTAAGACGCGTGATACACGTGATAGCTACAAACGGCAAAAACAGCAAAAAGATCAGCTAAGTTTTTTAAACTTCGAATGTCTATTTTTTTCAATGAAATATTAGGCAAAATGTTTCATTTTTTATCTTTTTTGATAAAGATTTCAGAACATGTAATTTTAAAAAATTCTTGCCTATCAAAATCTCAAGTTCAAATTCCAGAGATCCGAAAGAGTTACATAAAAAAAGAAAAAGAAATGAATTATTAGTAAAGATTGTTAAAATAAAATATTAAAAACATTTTTACTTATCAAAATAAATCCAAGTTCAAACTCTAAAGACCCGCAGGAATCGTCTAAAAAAAATAGAAATATGAACTATAAGTTATCATTAATTAACATAATTGTGAATTTTTTTTTTTAATTACTATAACAAATGATACTGTACCAGGTAGCCATATATATTTCATTTAAACCTTCTTTAGTTATTATAATTATAACGCTACTAATATGGATGTTCTGATTTTAATTGGAACTTTTATTAGTTTCATATCCACATCAGTAAATTTTTGACGTTCTCCCCTCTTATAATAAATTACTATGTGTTTATTGAAAAAAAAGGATATGTATATATTTTGATTTGAATTTTTTTAAATATTTATTTTAATGAAGCAGTCACTAATGTTTGTCATATTTAGACATGTGGGATTTGATTAGTTGGTTACTTTTAAGCTTAATTTTTAACAAACTTCTGTTATTAACTTTATTCTTCTGTAGGTAATTCTTCATCTCTAGGACGAATATATTTTGATAAAGAGAACTGGAAATAAAAATGACGAATTTATAATGAGAAACAGGTAACAATCAATAATTACAGATGATCTTAGGAAAATAATTCTCAGAATTCAAAATGATATATCGATTGTGATTATCAAATTGATAGGTTTGTTCATTATCTAAATCAAAAATATGATATGTACTGTCATAAATCTTTTACATTTATTGAGAATAATTTGGATCATGTTTATATCATTTATGGTGAATATTTGTTTATTTCAATAATACCCTAAGCTATTTTTATGGTACGTTACTATACATACTTTTTTCAGTAATATTTGGACTTCATTAAAAAAAATAAAATAAAAATTTTAAATATTCATTTTTTTCTATAGATTTCTGAAAGTAAATATTTTCATTTTTTTGAACCAAAATTTTTGTTAATCATTTTTTTTTTGTAGGACTGTGGCTTACAACTTAGATACTGGGCTTTGATTAGTTTTTCAAAAACTATCTAGGAGATTATTTTTTTAATGATTTAATCTATCTTTTTTATTATATTTCTAGCAATTCCTACTGCCTCTTAAAACATTCAATGATAAAAACTTCTTGATATTACCATCAGCAGAGGCGAATTTTATGCAGTGTACTATTTTTCAGGAAAGTTTTATTATACAAATTTATATGACAATCACTGTAATGTTGCCCAGCACTATAATTTTGGCCTACATTTAATGTTTAAAATCATGTGATAAGATGTCAACCAATCAAAACCAAATGACTGAAATGACTAAACGAGTACTAAGAATAAAAAAAAAATTCTCTTCCCTTTCCTTTTTTTTATTAAAAATCCGCAGTAGATAAACATTTACCTAGTTCTTTCACCGCTTAAGCGGCAGAGAAGAGGACCGTAATGGTCTGACAATAGAAAGCCCTTCTCATTTCACTCTGACCTAAGGACCGTAGTTTTTTTACACTTTACTTAACCTTTGACTACAACATGTCATTTTTAAAATACTCACACTTTCCAGTCGAGAACTTCGACTTTAAAATTTCTTTTAATAAATTTCACGTGACCCATCCCAATCGGGCAGGGCACAACAAGATTTACAATTTCAGGAGGTCGAAAAGTTTCTTTTTTGAGCTTGCTGATCCTCAACAACGCACCAATAATGTTCATCTTAAAATACACACAAATGATTATCACATGAAATCATCCCCAATTCGTTATAAATCCACGAGCCGTACGCCCAACACAAAGTTTCAAATTAGTATGATGTTACGCCATTTTTTTTACACCAGTGTGTAATCCCTCATCGTATTTAACAAAAATACTTCAACCTTATTCGATTGAAATTATTAGATAGAATCAATCTAATTAAATCACGTGGCAATTCACAAATACGCCGCAATACCTCGACTAAAACTTTTTTTAATTTTAGTTACAAATGTTACCATTTTTATTTTGGTATATTTTTACTATGCTCACATCCTCACTCTAATACAGAGAATAACACCGTCACAAATATTTGTGATGTCCCTTGTCCTTATGTTATGTCACATTATCGACGAGCCTGTATTGACCATCACTTAGGCACATATTTAAAGCTTTTCATGAACGTGAAAAAACCTATTAAACTGGACTCACTTCCGACTTCTACAACATCCAAAGGTCGTCATGCCTCACACCTTTTCAACAAATCTTCAATGAGAACAACAAAACACATTTTTTCCAAACGTCAAGGAACTTCTTATGACGTTAACTATAATCACTACACACAAAAATTAATCGAGCGCACAGATACAAGAACTATGTATTACAAACAACTTTCGAACTTCAGACATACTACCCCGATCAAGTCTACCGTTTTTAGTAAACAACATGAAAGATTTGAACGACATTGTAGAAAAACTTTCAACCAGAACAAATCACATGTAGCGGAAGCCTCTGAAATCAACGATCGCCTAGCTGCTGCTACTCGACAAAGATTTCTATTTTTTCACCCTCAACATATCAATTTACCCATTACACATTTGAAATACAAAGAATGTAATCCTCGTAGAGAAAATTACTCTTTCCCTATACCTATTCATAGTACTAAGAACATCCAATTGGATGATCCTTCGAGTCAGAAGGTTAACCCTTCTTCACCGTTAGTCAAACACAAAGGCAGATACATACCACATCCATCTACGTATTATCATGATGAACCTTCAACTACGCCTAACAATCGACGGGACTACAAGACTATAGGAATGCTCAATAAATATTGTGAGCATAATAGCTTCATGTATAAATTTGAAGCCCAGCGCCAATATAACCTCACACGCCAAACATACCTCGCATCCCTTTCGCAAAAATGAGCACAATGTTTCTCTGATGCTGACATTTCTTCAATTGCAAGTTATGATTTAGCACAAACTCACCAGTCCAATATGAGTTTGGAGACTCCTGTCCCCTCTCCCCCAGCAGTTGCTGGGCCTTCCAACTATAATCATTCACCTCCTATTTTGCCTTTACCTGTTACAATATTATCGGAGCCCTTCAATTTGAACGACTCCTTTGGTAACATGATCATGACTAGAGCTCCGAATTTGACCCGATGGATCGGGTGACCCGATGGGTTGACCTGAAAAATTCAGGTCGGGTAGCAGATTTAATGACCCGACTTATTGACCTGACATATTTCGGTCAAAAATAAGATGTTTCAGCATTTTATATATATAAAAAAATGCCAAACTGACCTGAATCCGACGTTTTTTCATTAAAAATAATTACAAAAACATCTTTTTTATTAAAAACATCGGGTTCGATTAAAGAAACAAAAAAAAATGTTTTTTTATTAAAAAACGTCGAACCTGACGTTTTTTATTAAAAGAAACAAAAAATCATTTCTTTAATTAAAAAACGTCTAACCTGACTTTTTTTATTAAAAGAAACAAAAAAAAAATGTTTCTTTAATTAAAAAACATCGGGTTTGACGTTTTTTCATTAAAAGAAACAAAAAAAATGTTTCTTTATTAAAAAACGTCGGGTTTGACGTTTTTTCATTAAAAGAAACAAAAAAAAATGTTTCTTTAATTAAACAACGTCGGGTTTGACGTTTTTTCATTAAAAGAAACAAAAAAAAATGTTTCTTTATTAAAAACGTCAGGTTTGACGTTTTTTCATTAAAAGAAACAAAAAAAAAGTTTCTTTAATTAAAAAACATCAAACCTGACATTTTTTATTAAAAGAAACAAAAGAAAACGTTTCTTTAATTAAAAAACCTCGAACCTAATGTTTTTTATTAAAAGAAACAAAAAAAAATTGTTTCTTTAATTTAAAAATGTCGGGTCCAACATTTTTCATTAGAAGAAACAAAAAAAAAGGACGTTTTGGCGTAATAAAATGTTTTTTTGACCCAAAATATATCAGGTCAATGGGTCGGGTCGGGTATCTGAACTGACCCGTGATATTCAGGTCAGGTCACCAAATTCATGACTTGCCTTGGGTCAGGTCAAGTCAATTACCTGACCCGACCTGACCCATTCGGAGCTCTAATCATGACGTCAACTCCACCACCTACACAAATAGAGATAAGGGAATTTGATTTTTTTAAGTCAGAACCTTCTTCTCCTTCTACCATATGAGATTTATTCCCACCACCTCAGAGTCATACTGAGGCACCTTCATCATCTGATGATTACTTAGCAGCTGATTCAGACAGTAAAGATTCAGCAGAGCTTATTAATTCACCATCTCCTCCTTTAAGGATTGTACAATTAGATATTTTTAACAAGATAAGTTCCACCCCGCATATGATCCGCGTGGGCGGCAGAAACCTTATGGTTTCGGATAGACAATTCTTTATTTTTAGGAACTATAGACCTCCTTTTTAGGATTTTAAATTTTTTTGTTTTTTTTACTAGTTTTTTTTTTCGATTCGCTAGTAATTTAGGTCTTCAAATTAATGTATGGAATCGAGTTTACTTTTATTTTGACCGTATTTAGCAACATAGATGCATTACAAGACTTCCTTTTTTACAATTTAAAATAGTGTGAACCATTCTACCTATGACAGTATTTACAGATAGCCACTCTTCTAGTGGAAAGAAAAATACGGATCATATAATTTCTTTTTTTTTTGTGTGATTGTCGATAGTACTTTCTAGACTTCCGGTTATACCTGATTGTTCTATTGAATAACAGGCAAGACGACCCCTTCGAGCTTCTCTCGAGAGGTTGGGTCTATCATTAGCTTAGAATTTATTGTTCTTTTAGATCATGTTTATTCTTATTTAGCGTTCGACCCCAGTCGAGTCTATATTTTAAAAATAAAAATAAAAAAAACTAAACGAGTACTAAATGACAAATGGTTATGAATAATGGCAAAGACCAGTCATTTATCATTTGTCGTACACTGTAACAATAAATAATGCAGTTTAATGCATCATAGAAATATTTTAAGTATTAGGCGTACGGTAATTATTAAGCATTTCATTGAAGATTATAAATGAAACACAAATTAAGTAAGAATCTACTTGAACAACGAAAATTCGAATAAAATGAATAAAATAATTTTTTTACGATATGTAAACTATAAGATTAAAAATAATCTTGTACTACAGATTGGGCGTGATCGGGCGTGCATAATGTTACATTTCATTAAAAAAAAAATTAAATAGAATTATCTTAAACGAAAAAATTTATTTATCTGTTATTATAAAAAAAAAAGCACCAAATAAAAAATAAACTTATTTATCGGCAAAAAATTATTATTTAAAAAAAAGAAAAATAATAATAATAAATATCATCAATAGTACTATTAAATATTATCTATTGTTAAAAAAAAAAATAATAAATAGAAATAAGAAAATTGATTTTTTAAAATGAATATTATTAGCATTAAAGTTTGTACGGAAAATAAAGAAAAGTTCTTTGTATTATCCAATAAAAAGTAATAATGTAAAGTAAAAGATAAGATATAATAAGTGTATTTTAATTTTCGGGATCATGAATCATGATTTATCGTCAGGTTTGTATTACCGTATAACGGGATTGGAATTTCATAGTAAATCCATTTTTAGTTAATACAGCCAGATATTATCATTTACTCGAACTCGGTTTCATGTTGGGTATACAAAATTGTATTATGTTAAAATGTATCATATTTATTGAATGTGACTATCAATGATCTATCTCTACGATAATTTTGACTAATATTATAATTTGGCGATAGTTAACGAAAAGTTTTGTAATATTAACTTAACGGTATTAAATTATTAATACCGGTCACAATTTGTGACTAGTACATCAATGAAATTTTGTATTTGGTTAATGGGCCAGTTACCAAGCTTAAATCCATTGGGAATCCCGAAAAGTACTTTTTGCTCATTTGTTATTGTTAGTATGGACACTGTATATATAATAAGCAAGGGACAATAATTTATTAAAAATGATATTCTACAAAGTTAATAATTGTTGAATTTTTTAAAAATAATAACTTTTGAAGTCGATGTCATAAGAAATAAATTAAAAAAAAAAAACATTTACGAATTTTTGAATAATGTAATATTTGAAATCCATATTACATGTGAAGGATGACTTATTTTAAGATGACTTGTCACTTATAATGAATATTATTGGTTAAAAAGGAAGAACGACGATTTTACTAAATAATCAATCAATCAACCATTTAATATGGACATTAAATACTGGTTTAGCCCATTGATAACCATTACTATAAGAATGTTAAACAAATTTTTGAACCTTATTTTAATATTAGTGGTTATCTGATATGGCGCATTCACATAAGGGAATGTTAATGGACAAACATTACGTCATACATTTGCCAATTACGTGCTACGACTGTCTACGTGTAGGTCCTATATATTGTATCACATTCCACGAACTATAAACAAATAATCAACATTTATGTGACAATTAATTACTAATAAATTATTGACAACTATTTTGTTTGACCCCAGAATTTTTTTTCTAAAAAAAAAAAAAATGTCGAAATTATATGTAGATGTACTTCATCTAATATTCGAAAAATTTCAAGGTGATAAGGATGATAAAAAATCTCTTATTTCATGTCTTTCAGTTAATATAACTTGGTGTGAATTAATTGTTCCAATTTTATGGAAAAATCCTTGGGAATATTTAAAAATCGGGAAAGAAAAAATATTATTAAAAGTAATTATTTCCCATTTTTCGGATGAATTAAGAAATAATTTAAGTCAAGATAATGAATTTTTAATAGATTCATATAAGAGACCATTATTTAATTATATTAGTTTTTGGAGACATCTAAATTTAGAAAGAATCGAAAGAATGTTTAATGCTCATATTCATTTTAAAGAAATTAAAAATGATTTACTTAACCTTTTCATCAATAATAATACTAAATTTACACATCTTTATATATATCAACAATTTAATCGTCAAATCCATCTCATTCCTGAATCAAAACAATGTTTTTCAGATATCAAATTTCTTAGTTGTAATGCTAGTATAGATGATTATGTTTTAATTGGATTAATTGAAATGTGTGAATCAATTAAAGAATTGGAAATTTTTATTGAAAAAGGGAATAAAAATTATGGAATTATTAAATTAATTAAATCTTCAAAAAAATTATTTAATATTAGTTTAATAAGAACTGAATTTTCATTTTCAAAATATTCAAGAAATGATGAATCAATGGAATCATTTTGTAATATTCTAGAAAATTCATTAATTAATCATTCAAATACTATAAAATATTTTAAGTTAACTAAACAACCTATTACAAAAATTCTTTCTCATCTTATAAATTTAAAAATATTAGAATTGGATGGTAGTTTTCAAGATATGGCTTGGGATCGTATAGAAAATTTATCTTTACCTTATTTACAAATATTAAAAGCTAAAAGTATTCCTATCAAATATTTAACAAATTTAATTGAAAACACAAATGGTTACCTTATTGAAATAAAAATTGATTATATAGGTCATGATGAGATTAATAATAAAAGGATTATTAAAGCTATTTATCAAAATTGTCCAAATCTTCAATATCTTAATTTAATGTTTAGAAAGAGTAATATTTTAGAATTAGAAAAATTATTAATTAAATGTCAATATTTGAATGGTTTATTTTTTATTATTGATAGTGATGATACTATTAATTGGGATAAATTATTCGAAATTTTAACTAAATTTTCACCAAATAATTTATTTAATTTTAAATTTTATTCCGTTAATCAAATTAAATTGAATTCATTAAAATTATTTTTTGATAATTGGAAAGTTGAATATAAACATCCTATGTTATTAAAATTCTTTAGAATGAAAATTGTAAGTGAATATGTTGATTTAGTGGAAAGATATAAAATAGAAGGTGTAGTTAAAAAATTCGATCATGATTTATATGGAGAAGATTTTGAATGGATCTAAAAAGTGTAAAGTGTATAAATTTTTAATAATAGATTTGTTTTTTAATGTACTTTTTTTTTGTATTTGTTTTTTTTTTATTGTATTTATTTTTGTGGATAAATAAAAATTTGAACATATAACATACTCACAGACATACTGTAAAATTATTATTTTATTGGATGGGTAGGATAATATGGTTACAGTACGAATTCCCAAATGCCTTTTTAAGTCAAGTTTCCGAGTGCCCACTTCCCAAACTGCACAATTTCCCAAATTCCAATTTATGGGAATCACATGAGACATCCAATTTTCCAAGTTCTTTTATCCGAATTATTTTATCTTGAATAATCCCAATATCCTGAATTCCAATATTATGAATTCTGTTATCCCAAATGTACAATTAATAATGTAAACAACTTTGCTAAATAATCGATTTTGTGCTAAGTAACAATATTTTGTATACATAATTATTACATAAACTTTATTTTTTTTTTGTACGTGTATATAACGTAATATAAAATAATAAATTTGGTATTATGACATAATAATTCTTTATCCTTTTACATTTATTACAGAGCTTATAAATCATATAAAATAAAGAGATTACAGTACTGTATACTATTATATATTGAAATTATCCATCCGGGATATTAAAATTCGGAATATTGAGTTTAGGGATATTAGATTTCAGCCTTTCAGGATTTGGGAAATTGATCATAAGAAAATTGGGATTTGGGAAATACGGATTCGGGAAATTGTATATTTCAGGAAAAGGTCCTATTCGAAAAGTTGTTACTTCGGGAAAAGGTATATTCGGAAAAGTGGCATTCAGAAAATGCTCCGACAAGGGAATAATATATAATATTATTTATTACAAAGGTACAATGAATACAAACCGAAACATCCTTCATAAGTGTTATCGTTCGGTCATTGGGGACACCGCAGCGACAAATAGGAACTCATTACAATATTAACTATAATCAAACCATGAATTTTGTACAGCAGTATGTTATCCTTAATTTACACACTACCTATCACTTTTAATTAAGAAATTTTTATGATAATAAATAAAACTTTATTCACATTCAAACTTTACCCGAATTTTTTACTCATTAATTAAAAGTTTAAAACTCCTGATGGAAAACCATTTCACTCATATACTTGCTTTTATCAAGTAAACGAGAAAATATTTTTATTTCATTGTTTAATATCCTAAGACGACGTGTTATGATAGCATATAAAAATTGTTTTTAAAGAACATTATATTAAATAAAAACTTATTAATAAAATCAATTAAAATTGAAAATAATTATTGATTTACATATATATTTTTAAATACATTTTTATGACAACATTGTACTTTTTTAGGAATATGACCATCAAATCGATTACATCTCCAATATATTGCAAGCCAAATTCTAACCCATGTTCCTGGTGCAGGTCTTAAACTTTCATCATGTGGCCAGTATGAAACGTATGGATTTTTTTCATCAGGACTTGTATAAGTACAATGATGGTCATTAACAAATATAGGCTTTTTAAGAAATCTATATTTAACTTGGTCATTGCCAAAGGTAAAGTGGCCAAATGCTTCTGGATAATTTGGTCCATTACCACCATCAGGGACATAAGTCGTGATGTTGAGTATTGGCGCACCTGGTACCCAACTAGCATCTATAATATTAGCACCATCTATGTAAAGCAAAAAAGTACATTAATTTTTCACTCGTAGAATTGTTTAGAAATAAGAACAATAATAAGTCAAAAAGTTGTTATTAACGTACCCCATTCTTTATCACAATCTTTTCTTACTCCAATAGGATAACAACTGCCATGAGTTTTATCAACATGTATAAGGAAAAATATAAGTAAAGTAAGTAAAATAATAAAGCGTTTCTGATTCATGATGAAATTATTGATTGTAGATGATAATTGTTATATACCATTATGCCGTGTACTTATTTAAATTTTTCGTTAAAGAAAATCTCTACATGTGATAAAGTTTTATAAAAGCCATAGAAATTTATCAATATCAATTTAACTTGAAATTAGAGATATTCGTCCTTTTAAATTGTATTCAAAATGGGATAATAAATGGTTAATATTTTATATTGAATGCGCTTATTAACGAAATGATCCTTATGAAATTTGTTAAATTTGTTTTATATTTGTGCTTCATGCGTTATTAATGTCTAAAAAAGCACCATTTTGTTTAATTTTTGTTTTTTTGTAATCAGATATAAATCGGACAAAATGGTGCTTTTTCAGACGTTTTTTTACACATGAGCACAAATATAAAACGAATTTAACACATTTCGATATTCCTATTTTGTTTCATTCTATCTAAAATGTCTGAAATCTGTCACAATGTAAGGAAAAGATAGTTATTAGTTCGGAGGGACTATATATGAATTAAATACCGAAAATATTCATTAACGTTATTTCTTTATTCTGACGTTTACAATCCTGAACAAATCATAATCCCGAAAGTTCAAAATCCCGACACTCATTATCCTGACACTAACATTATTACGTAATAATTTTGTAACAAATTATATTTTTATTGGTATATAATAATTTTAAATGTTTCGCTAGAATTAATTAATATTTTTAATATAAAAATTAAATATTCTTTATTATTATGTCGTAAAATTAAGTGACAATTAAATTTTTTATTTAATACTAGAGTCTTTAAAATATTTCACAAAATTAATAATTCAATAAGTCTAATAATAATTTTTTTGTATATAAATATATTTTTTAACATATTGATTGAATATTACAATATAGTGTAGTACAATGTCGATCGTATAAAAAAATTACCACGATTAATTTTCTAATCCATCAAAGTAAAATACTTTCTTTTCGTGTTTTCTTATGATCTCTTAAGATTATTTATAATAATAGGAACAATATATCGATATTATACCTCGTTTCTTTTATTCAAAGTTTATGATTTCTACGATTTTTGGACCTAGAATACAAAATAGCGTATACTTTTAGTGAAGATTCAAAATGGAGAATTATTTTCTTTCGTCATAATGGCTATATGTAGAGAAAAATTGCTGAATTATTGTGTATTAGTAGAGGTGTTGTAGGTAAAGTTTGGCAAATATATGTACGATGGGGAACAGTAGTGGATCCCTGACGAAAACGCCAGGACGTCACAAAAACGTTAAACCGAAATGAAATGAAGGTATTTGACAATCAAAATCATATTTTAAATTGATGCTAATTGTTACTAATTCAAATATTGCAAGAACTAGTCAAAGAGAAGGTGGATTGATATTTGCATGAATTAACATGAGAACTTGATCTACAAACAGATAAACTAGTTTCTATCCCGACTCTTTGGCGATCTTCAGTTTACTGTGGAATTAGCAAGAAAAAAAGTAAATTCGAAGATTTTTTTAGTTTATATTGTGTTATGATATTTACTATTAATTTTATTTCACCAGTTACATCAAGGCATCCTATGAGCGAAACGAACTTCCCAGACATTTATTGCGAAGATTAGATATGAATATAACCTGATCAACTTATTTTATAGATGAAGCTGCAAAAAATGAACGTAATTTATCTTGTGGGTATGAAAATACCTTTGCAATAAAAAAAAATGTATTTATACGTGGAGTATGATATACAATTTTAGCTGCTTTATTATTTATTACATCTGATACATCAAAATCATTGTCGAATAACTAAAATTTGAGTGGTTCAGCTTGTAAGTTATGAAACTCGAGTAAACGCGACCTTTACTTTGTCATTACTTGACTTGATACATGTCACAAGATCATGCGCTTTTTCTTGTACTAAGTTCGATTTCACTTTTCACAACCAAGACAAGTAACGAGTGACAATGAGGCGTTAACATCTTTTTCTTTGTTGTTAAAATATAAAGTAATTTATTGAAAGCGTATATTATTGATTAGTATATCGATCATTCTTATAATCAATCATAATGGGTAATCAAAATTCATACATGCATGATAGTACAAGTGTCGGGATAATGAGCGTCGGGATTTTGAATTTCCGGGGTGATTTGTCAGGTTTGTGAACGTCAGGTTTGTAATATAACGGAATAACGTTAATGAATTTTTCGGTATTTAATACAAGATCTGTATTAAGGAGTAAATTAGGTGCATGTGCGGGGACAGACCGTATATAGTCCTTCCGGACTAATAATTATCCTTTCCCTCTTTTTATTTTATTTTTTCTTTTTTAACAGTGCAATGGACTTTTGATGGTTTCCGTTTCCCTAGTTAGGAAATTCCTACGTCACCTACATAATAATCAACGTTGATAGCATATGATAACATTTTCCAGACATTTTTAGAACGAAACAAAATGGAAAGATTATATTACTTCTTTAATAAGCACATTCAATATTACGTGTAAACATTAATCAGTCATTATTCCATTATGGATAATAATTTAAAAGGAAGCAAATTGAATTGACATAGATAAAATTTTCACAGTCACGTGGATATGTTCTTAGAAAAATAAATAAGTACACGGTATAATGGCATATTATAATTATTCTCATACAATTAAGATATCATCATGAATCAGAAACGCTTTATTATTTTATTTACTTTACTTATATTTTCATTATACATGTTGATGGTAGCTTAGATTGCTATCCTACTGGAAAGAGAAAAAAAGGTTGTGATAAAGAATGGGTACGTTAATAACAATTTTTGACTTATTATTATTGCTAAACAATTCTACAAATGAAAATTAATGTACTTTTTTGCTTTACATAGATGGTGTCAATATTTTAGAAGCCATTGGTTATCATATGCGCCAATACTCAACATCACGACTTATGTCCCTGATGGCGATAATGGACCAAATTATCCAGAAGCATTTGGCCACTTTACCTTTGGAAATGATCAAGTCAAACATAGATTTCTTAGAAATCCTATATTTGTTAATGACCATTATTGTACTTATAAAAGTCCTAATGAAACAAATCCATACGTTTCATACTGGAAATATAATGAAGATGTAAGACCTAAACCAGGAACGTGGGTTGGAATCTGGCTTGCAATATATTGGGGTTGCTATTACGATCATTATTTTGAAATAAGCTGTTGTCATAAAAATGTATTCTTAAATTCATATGTAGATGGATAATATAGTGTATTATATTTATTATATTTGTATTACTGATGCACTCCGTCAAAAAACTAGTTTATGAACTGATAACTATTGATTATTTTTTTATTTGAAATAAAGTCTTTATACTGTAGTAATTAATTAATTTCAATTTTAAATTTTAACAACATTTTAACAACTTTAGTTGAAAGTAAATTACTAGTTGATTTTGCAGATAATATCATCGTTATTGAGTATCGATATATATCTCCGATGTTGTATAGTATGGCGTAAAAACTATACTGTATAAATAAAAACTATACTATAGATAAAAACTATACTGTATAAAAAAACTATACTGTGTAGATTTTTCGTCAACTATACTATACAACATCGGAGGTATATACTGTATATTCATACTCAATATCGTTTATGATGAAATTCAGCGAAAAATTGCTGATCGACGTTCATTATACTCTTTCTTAACGGGATTCGTACCAAACCCTTTGTTAACAATATTCACTCATTTTACCGACACCTGTTATACAAACTATACCAACATAAAATTTACTGATCTCACTTTGCTGACTTGCCGTTTCACTGACATCACTGGTTCTCGAAATCACCACCATTTTTGCTGATAGCGAATCAACATACTGTTTGATCATGAAATTTTGCAAGTTTTTTTTTTTTTTTTGAAATTAACTTCCTATTTATTTTAATTTTTTTATTTTTATTATGTGTAATTAAACAAAAATTATTATATTTTGTATTTATCGTTTTCTAAAAAGTAAAAGGGTTCTTCACTGAAATAATTAATTATTTATTATATGAAATAAACCAGATTACTAAATTTAAAAAATTTTAGAAATTGGAAGTTATTTATTTAATAAATTTAATTTATATTGCAATTTAAAAAGTAAACAAGTCTATATAATTTTTTAAAAGTAATAAAATATTGAAATTAAACCGCAGTAAGGAGCGTGGCACAGTTAACCTATGAATTTATTTAAATAATTTTCGGTGAAATGGCAAGTCGGGTGATTTTCATGTTAGAAAAATTGCATTTCAGTGAAATGAAGTTGGGTATTTTTTTCATGTCAGTAACATGGAAGTCAGCAAAATGCCCTATAAAAAGGAATGTTCAGAAAACATATATACTATTAAAATGAATGTAAAATATATATTATACATAAAATGTCTATAGAACATCCGTAAAACATATATATAGAAAATAAGTATTATTTATTTCATGGGGAGTTGGAAATAAATGGGTAATCCCCTGGAGCGTGTCACTCATTAAATATTAACTATTTTAACTATTTTAAACTAAAATTAGTAATTTCCCGGCTATCTATATGAGACCGGGAAATAACTAAAAGAAGATTCCCGGTCATTTATAAACTCAGCTAATCACTCGCAATTTTTAAAAATTAGTATGAAGGTGATCATGAGTGACACTTAGTGCGACGGGGGATTAAAAAATATATATGAGCCTTTTTGCATGTATTTTATGGACATTCTGTAGTCGTTTATGTGTATTGTACATTTCTCCATATAATCTATGTGTTTCTGAGCAGTATCAATATATATATAATGAACATAGTTTACTATTATGTTTGCTTTCTTTTCAATATTAAAAGCTTATTTTTATTTTCACGTTTATTTTATTTAATTTATCCTGTCTAATTTAATAAAACTTTAAAAATTATAAGGTACCAGTATCGGTTGATAAAATTTGATATTAATGATTATAAATTTTTTATTTAATCTTATACTGAAATGCTAACAGTTATATTGTTCAAGAAACAACATCGTTAGACATCCTATTATAGGATTAGGAGTACAAATTTTAATAAAAAAAAATAATGCGCAAAACAAATGCAATAATCATATACATCATCATCCGATAATTATAGTCTAGGTGTAGTTATGGCTGAATTAATATTATCAGGAAAGCCGCCTTTACAATAAAAAACATGATTTAAACTTAGCATTAGCTGGACTTAGGCCAGAATTTGGTTAATAAACATATTATATAAATAGGCAAGGATGAATAGATTATTTAGTGAAAAAAGGAATAGGGATTATGTGCTGTAAATAATTATTTTTTTATCTCATGCTTACTAATTGGTCGCCAGTGATTTTTTTGATTATATTTCATGCCTGTAATTTTTCTGATGAATATTTTCATGCTCACGTGTTTTTATAGTTTATTTATACCTTTCCGGCTTTCCCATCACTGGACATTAGTCATAGTTATTTCACGTGTCGGCATAAATATCATGATTTTCACGGCGCAGCCGTGAAAATCATGAAATAACTATTTTAAAATTATTTTACAATATGAATTTTTTTTTTATTATCTTTCTTTATATTGAACGCTTGTATTGTAGTACATTTATAGCTAGTAGCAAGCCAAACAGTCTTTGATGTGTATTCATTTATTTTGAAGATAGATTTGATTTTGCTTTTGAAAGCAGTATCAGAAATATTTCGTGATTGTCTAACCAAAAGTCGAATCTTTGGTTACGAAGATGTTCTGCACATGCACCAAGTGATTGTGTACATTGTTTAATTTTAGTTGCCATTTTATCATTTGTTTCTTGTAATGAAGTGACCGAAATTTGATTGTTAAGATTTTGTGATAAATATTTATGAACTTCATTTTAAAGATAGGGAGAGATAAGTTTTTCTTCATTCTTCAAATTTCTCCGCGGTGCAGCAAATATGATTGGATCATTTTCTATTAAAAAGCTGCTATACTTTGATCAACACATGCATTTAAGTAGTTAAAAATAGTCATTCTAAAACTTGTAATTCATGTTTGATTAAACAACTAAAAAAGTATAAATCCAAACGAACCACTAAATGATATATATAACCGCAAAATCCATCATATTGTTGATGAAGAAAGTATTACTAGAGGAACGTTTGAGATACATTTAAATCAACTTGCACAATTTGTGCATAATCATTCATTAAGACTCATAAAATATCCTTTGAATTTTGACTTATCAAAACTTGATCATTCTATATGGATGCGAAATAATAATGAAAATAAAGCTGGTCACAATAAACTTCATCGATTTGAACTAATATTATTTTGTAATATGCAAAGGAATGGAACTAATGAAAGCTTATGAAATTATTTAAATCAGACGACAAGACTTGTTCATATTCTTAAAAAGGTTCAATAACAATAAAAATTGAATATTTGAATTAGACCAAATTCTATAATAAATGAATAATTCTATGATAATAAATTTTTTTCTTTAAGGCAAAACGATAAAACAATATGATAATAAGACAAAATTAAATATGCTTATATTGGATTTGATTTTAATTTATTTATTTGTTTTTAATAAATCTTCACAGGTTCAAATAACAATTAATAATACTACATGGAAATTCTAATTTAGACTAAAAATAAACTCTTAATTTACGCTTCCGAATTACGAAAATTTTTGAGCTACTACGATTATGTTTCAATTTTGATATATTTATATAAATAATGAGACATTATACACAATTTTTTTAATTCAGACACTAAATACAGTTCATATTAGAAATCACCTTTAAATAAGATGGATGGGATAGTTTTTTTTTGATAGGAACCATTTGATATTTTTCTAAACTCAGACTATTTCTTTACACTTAAACAATTATTAATATTGTTTCTACTTTTTGATGGTCGTATTTTTTTTGAAAAAATTAAATATTATAACCTTGATTGAAATATCGGGAATTTTAAAGAAATTAATTTTTTGAGATAAAAATTTTTTTTTTCTTACAAAAAGAGAAAATGATCAAAATAGGGAAGTGGTTTGAATTTTGAGCCATCTGTTTTTATTATGAAAAGTGAAAAGGACAAGTTAAAAATGGTAAGTAGTTTCATTTTCTAACAAAAAAAAAAAAAAATTTAGACGTTAATACTAAAAGTAGCCGAGAATTTTTCGTCCAATGGGTTTTATTAAATAATTTAATCATTTTCAAGATATGATCATCGATATAATTTCCATTACGTAACTTACATCGAATGATGACTATAAATTTGAAATTTAAAATAAACACTCACCAATCGTAAAAAAAAGATTAGTTTTTTATTTATCTTATATATGATGTTTACCATCAGGTATTTTTAGAATATTTTGCTACGCATGACGATCAATGACTAAATTAGTAAGGTGCATTTATGATTTCCTATAAATACCTTTATTCGCTTCATTTGTTTTTTTTCCTTTCAAATTCATTGAAATTTTAATCAAATAATTTAAAATATAACGGAAAAGATGGAAAAAACAGAAAAAGGAATTTACGTCTTGAAACTCTTCAATTGAACGCAGGTCACACACTCAATATTATTGCTACACGTGCAAGAGCTGTCCAGTTTATGTAGTAAAAAATTTTATCCATAATTTTTATAAAAATTCCGCGAATATGATACATTTACGGAATAATATGGAATAAAAAAAAAACACGGAATAAATTTTTTATAGGGCTTCGTTTACATTTTAAAAGTGCTGAATATGCCGCAAATATTTTTGATGGTAAAGAAATAGCTCACGTTTATACGAGGTACTAAAAATTTTATACATCTGATTTTGATTTATGATTTTTTTTATTAAAAATAGTAATTAATCAATTTTTTCTTTTAAAAAAAAAGGATAGATAATTCAACAACACGTAAATAAATGTTTAAACTTATTTTACTTTTATTCTTTGTTGTATTTGAACAGAGGATGGCTGCACTTGAAGGTGAAACTAACGTTGTTTCTACATCATCTGGACGGACTGTACAATTTGTTGCCATATCAACGATTTGCCTTAGTGGGTGATAATATCATTTCAACAAGTTGCTTATATAATTTTTGTAAATTAACATTTTTTTTAAAGTTAACATCGTGTGTGAATTATTATTATTTTTTTTTTTTAAACGAATAGGTTATACTTCCAAAATTGAGGATCAATGTCAAATTCGTTCAAGGAGATGATCCAGAAGAATTCGCTAAATTAATCAATGATAAACCGAAAGCTATATATCTCTAATCTATGAGAAATCCGAAATTTAATATCCCAGACTTTTGAAGCAATTTGTAAGATTGCACATGATGTGGGAATACCAGTTATCGCTGAAAATACATGTTATCGTTAATAATACCTTTGGTACTGGTAAGTATAAGATGAGATTTTTTTACTTTTATTTACTGTACATTATTGATATCTAATTGATTGATTATACATATAGGTGAATATTTATTAAACCAATTGAACATGGTGCAAATGTTGTTGTTCACAGTAGGTTTATGATCAAAGCGTCATTTGGCAATATCCATTTGCTAATCTTTATGTTTATTCGTTAGGTGCAACGAAATGGATTGGAGGTCATGGAACAACAGAGGTGTAGTAATTGATGAAGGTAAATTTCCATGGAATAATGGAAGATTCACAATTTTTACTAATCCAAGTCCTGATTACCATGGGTTAATTTATTAGGATACACTTGAGTATAATGCCTTTACTATGAAAGCACGTTCAAAAATTATGCGTAACATTGGTCCCATGTCAAATCCTTTTGGATCATTTTTATTAATACAAGGCCTTAAAACTTTATTATTAAGAGTTCATTGACATGCCGAAAATGCTTTAGAATTAGCAAGATGGTTGGAATCTAGAGATGATATCCTATGGGTCTCATATCCGGGACTTGAACTTTACCCTCATCATGAAAATATCAAAAAATATATGCGGAATAGATTTGGACGTATTTGACTTCTTGTGTTAAAGGTGATGCTAATGTTGGAGGCTTGGAACCGCATTCATTGATGCTTTACTACTTGCAAGGTAAGGTTAGTCCAATTTAATTTATTTTTTTCTTATTCACATTAAAATTATTAACTTCTTTAGTCATTTGACATATGTGGAAGACGCAAAAATTCTCGTGATACATTCTTCTTCAACGACACATCAACAATTAATGGACGAAGAACAATTATCTGCAGGAGTAAATAAAAAGATGATACGACTGACACGTGTCTCTGTTGGCTATGAACATATCGATGATATTAAAGAAGATTTTACAATTGCGTTTGAAAAAATTAAAGAAACCAATTAACATTCTTAGCTTTTGTTCACGTAATTTTATTTTCACGTTCAGATAATAATAATATTATTTATCTTATATCTAGATTAAAAGAACACTATTATTATTGTATTTTTTTTAAAAAAAAAATGAGAATGAGAGTCAAAAATATGAATTCATCATTTATAATAGACTTGAAACAAATTTAATGAAAATAAAGATAATTTTTGATTATAATCATTATACACTGATACACATCTATACAAAATGATTTTCTTTACGATGTAATACCTATACCAATAACGTCATAGAACGTTAGAACATGCAAATATTATTCGTAATATCTGCTCTTGCATAATTTATATCATTTTTGGAATATTATTAATATGCAAATATAAATTTTTCAGAATAGTTTTACAATTAAACTGCATGTAAGAACATAAAAATATTTGAACGACAATAAAAAATTGTGATACTACCATTCGCATACATCGATTAGAGTAAACTCCTGTCATACCAAAGCCCTTGTTATCCTTCCCCCCCCTACGAACAAAGTTACTGACCCTCACCTTTAGTCAGCTATTAAAATATCTAACAGTATTTCCCCTTTGTACTGTTGAACCCAAAATTTAAACACAAAATAAATTTTGCTAGTGAAATTTATCATCGTGGTACTACATGTACATTTTTTGTTTTTTGTAATACTAACTACGAAATTTAGCAAAAAACCACATACACGAAAATATTTATGTAAAAAAAAATACTACGCTAATATCACGATAATACTACCTCTTTTCTCTTTTCTTCTACCTTCTTGAATTTATTCGGTCTTGTCCGTTCCGTCTCTACGCTCACCCTCTTCGTTTTATCTTCTTTCGCAAGACGTTCTTTCATCTTCTTGTTATTATCCTCATATTCTTCGTACGTCTTCTTTGATGGAATAAGATGAATTATAGGATGTATATTTTTTTAAAAAAAAATTTTTAATATTTAGTGTTCATTGTAATGAACTTTATTTAGGATGATTATACTACAAAGTAATTTTACATACCAATTTGTCGTACGTAATTAATTTTTTGACCCTACTTTATATGCAAATTTTCTATTATTTTCCACTTTTGTAACTTTTATTCTCGTTAATTGTATTTTCCATCATTATCTTCTATGCTGATATAACATATCACGCGCGTACCATACAGATTTACATTGTTTATTACCAAATAAGGAAAGGCCTATACTGATGACCGAACCACGTATGGGCACGTGACTTGTTTATATGTGATGTTTAACCATACACTACATACATAGAAACCATACACTGCATGTTTACTATATACTCTGATAAAGTTAATCCGATAAATGCTAAATTTTTTAAACGGACTTTTCCGTGGTACTATGGTAAATTCTTAAGATTCCATGAGAAAATCTAGAAATACTTTCCGTATCACCAACAAAAGGTTCAAACTCCGATAATTTAGATATAAATAAAATGATACGTACTTTCAAATTTTTCAAATTCATTATCTATCAATACTTTGTTTATAGCATATATTAATTAACTTAATAAAATGAAAATTGTAAATACAAATGATGAAAATTCTTTTGATCCAAGATTAAAATCTAGTCCTATACCAATTAAATTTATTTCTTTTAATGAGTATGATAATTATTGTATTTATTGTGGAAAAATGTTTATCACGTTATATTAACGATATAACTGATAATGATATATATTTGGATGTATACTATACAATGGACTTAGAATGTAGTGAACATGAAATAAGTAGTACAAAAGTACCACAAAGTATTCAAGAATGCTGTGGAAATTGTGTGAGAATTTTATGTTTTAAACAAATAGTTAACATATAAAATAATAACATTAGTTATAATGGAACTGATAAAAATATTTCCACTTTATACAATAAGGTGATTGAAAGTGAAAAAAATTGTAAATTATGTGGAAAGTCATTATATCAAGGAAATGAAATGATTATGAAGCAATTTAAATTATGTTCAGATTGTTATCTAATTTCTTCTGAATTGATAGAATCAACCTTGGTTAAAAAACAAATTTCAATTTTTTACTTATCATGGTGGGATAACAAATCTTGGTGTGATATTTGTGATTCAGGGTTAACATTTACATCAGACTGTCAAAAGTATTGTGCAAAATGCTTTATATTTTATGTTGGATGCAGATATTGTTTAACAACAAACATTCTTTTTGGACCTATGGATCAATCTCAATGTAAAAAATGCAAAAGAATATCGCCCATAAATAGTGGTCTTGATGATTTTCTTTTTAATAATAATCTTGTAGTATGCAATGGGTTAGATTATTTGAAGTTAGCTGAATTTGAAAATATTGTAAAAAACATTAATAAGTATTTTATACAACGGGAAATATTAGAGTCTATATTTAAAGAAAAAAAACAAGCAAAACAAAATAAGTGGATACCATATTCTCAATTTAAAGATGTAAAAGAAATGACAAAGGGGGGATATGGTATTATATATAAAGCAACTTGGTCAAATAATAAAAAAAACAAAAATGAAACTGTCATTTTAAAAAGATTTGAAAATTCTAAAAATATTGGCAAATATTTCTTAAATGAGGTAAAATATTTAAATATTTCTTATATAATTTATTTTAAATAAACTAAATTTTTAATTTAATTTAATCTTTAAATTTAAATAGTTAAAATCATGTGATCATTGTTTTAAGGACAAAGGGTGTCATATCATTGAAACTTATGGCTTTACAAAAGATCCGGAATTAGAGGATTACATATTAGTTATGGAATATGCAACAGGAGGGGATTTACATAAGCACTTACAGAAGGATTTTGCAAGTATTACATGGAATAAAGAAAAATTACGTATTTTACATCAAATTTCAATAGGGTATTTATATTTTATACATTTATTAATTTTCTTTAAATTTAAGTTATTAATTTTTTTATATTTTTAGACTTAAAACTATTCATAATAAAAAGTTTATACATCGAGACTTCCATAGTGGAAACATATTGTTTGATCCAAAAGGTAATAGAGTGTTTAATGATGATTGGGAAATTGGAGATCTAGGATTATCACAAGCTGTAAATAGTAAATCATCAAATAATGAAGTATATGGAGTAATACCTTATATTGCACCGGAAATATTTAGAGGATCCGAATTTTCTAAAGAAGCTGATATTTATAGTTTTGGTATGGTTATGTGGGAACTTACAACGGGTTGTAAACCTTTTGATAATGTTAAACATGATCATCATCTTATTTATAAAATTCTTGATGGAGAACGACCTAAAATTACAGAAGATACACCAGAATGTTATGCTAATTTAATGAAAAGTTGTTGGGATGCTGATCCAAAAAAAAGACCTTNCACCAGAATGTTATGCTAATTTAATGAAAAGTTGTTGGGATGCTGATCCAAAAAAAAGACCTTCTATAAAAGACATTCGGTTGACTTTTGGTAGGTGGACATTTAAAAAGGTAAATGAAGAAGAATTTGAACAAGCTGAAGCAAAAAGAATGAAACTGATAGGATCGAAGATGATTGGACCGGAATTTGCCGAAAAACGTCACCCGGAGGCCATTTATACAAGTAGGCCATTAAGTGCATTAATTTCTAAATGTTCATCCATCTATTCATCTTCAACGATTTCATTTGATAAGCAAGGTATTACAAAAAAAAAAAAATATTAATTGTAATTTAAAAATATTACTCAATTTATTAATAAATATGTTATTATACTCTTTAGATTCTAATTACATCTCAGAAGAATTAGAGCTTGATATAGACATTAAAAGGTATTTCAAAAAAAATATTTTTAAATGATACAACTAATTGTTGAATTTATTAATTTTTTAATTAGTTTATCTCAAAATTTAAGTTCTACAATTCAAAACTTAGATTCTAGCTATATCTCAACAGAATTAGAGCTTGATATAAACACTGAAAGGTATTAAAAATAATGATAAAAAAAATGATTTAAATAACACAACTAATTAGTATTTAAATTTACCATATAATTTTTTGCTTGGTTTCAGATCACAAAATTTAAGTTCTGCAATTCAAAATTTTTCAACCTCTTTAGAAAAAAGAAGAAATGTAGAATTTTTAAACGTAGAACCTCATGATAATAGTGGTAAATATTCATTTGGTTCGATGTTATTTTATTTTACTTTCGTTTTAATCAATTACATTAATATTTAATTTTTTTCATTTAAATCAAATATAAAATATTATTTATAGGAAAACGTATTAAAACTAATCTTAATTATCCATAGCTAAAACTACAGAAGTAAAATATTTCGTTATTCTGCCGATACAGAATATATAGAAATATTTAATAATTTTTTTAAAGAAATTAGAATTCAGATACGACATTTATTTAAGACTTGAATTTGTAATTTACTACTAGAGATTACGAATAAATTGTTTATTTATATTTAAAGTAACTGTCTAATATGAATAAATAAATGAGTACTAATACTTGTTTTTTGGAAGTCACCAATTTTGTAGCTTAAACCCTACTAGTGTACATCATTATTTGAGCGATGGTCGTACGTTGTCAATGAATTTACCAACGCGTTTACTGTAAGATTTATATAATTTAAGAATTTTAATAATGTGTAAAATAAGTTGTTTAGATTACAAATAACTACACATAGAAACAAGTAGACATAAAAAAAATTTTTTAAGTCACCAGAAAGACTTTAGATCACATATTTACTGTATTATGGAAAGCCACCAGCTAGGGAGATTGAATCACGTGATATTGGTAATTTCTTTATGGGTGATCCGATCCTTAACGTGTACCCGGGGTATAGTGATTGGCCAAAATTGTTTTATGATATCAAATTTATTACTTTTTATGTAAAAAAAAGAATATTTTTTTTTTGTGAACAATGCACATTCTTTATTACTTCTGGACGAAACCAATATACAATCATAGATTAGAATATAGTCTATTTAGGTTTTACGCTAACAAGAAAAATAAAAGAATTTAAGAATTTAAAATTTTAATTTTGAATTATTTATTAACTTGATATTATGATAAATCTCGTAAGACAATCAATGATATAGTACGTAACTACAAAGATTAAATTTATTTGTTTTTTGTTTCTGTGTGGTGAATTTCACAAAAATAAGTTGCGGTTGGTATTAATTTTCGATCATTAAAATTAGTGATCCGATCCTATTTTAAAACGTCATCCAAATCTGCTCAGGCTGGCAATCCGGATCTGATAATTGATAATTTACGGATTGATCCTTAATTTACCTAATTTGCCGTTAAATTAGGATCTATCCGGATCAATCCTAATCCAAATTTTAATGGATCATCCGTTTATTAATTAATTAAAATTCTTAAAAGTTTTGTATTAAGGGTTTAGTATTACCCTTTTAAGATTTTGTTTGATCATTTCATCATCATCATCATCTTAAATATTATTAGTAATTATCTATAAATTTTGTAAAAATGACAATTCTCAACGAAAAAAAAATTGGTTTAATAAAATTGATAAATTATTTTTCTCATGACAATTGAATAAAGAAGGAAATAAAAAAGGGGTATATAACTGTATAAGTGTAGTCATTATCAAAATGGAAAACTGAGAAAAAAAACTTTATATTCGTCCGGATGTTCATCCGGATATCGTTATCTGGATTTATCAATGTTAAAAATTATAGTCCAAATTCAATCCGGATTACGGATATATCCGGATTGAAATCCCTGATCAACTGATGAGTTAGATAAATCTGTGCGACAATCGGTTTCATATATATATATATATATCCTTCCGCAAAAAAAATCCATTTTTTTTTCAAACCACTTGTGAAACTAATTTTACGCAAAAATCATAAATAGCTATATCATGTCACTTGATAATATTGTTGCTACTATTCAAAGTCTCTAATAAATTAGGTGAGAATGGGAAGACGTATATCTTTCTGACAAGGATATTAAATTAGCTGATGTAGAAAAATTACTTAATCTCTGCAAGACAAATAACGCTAAGCTCGTATACTTGAAAGGACTATCAAAGAAGTCTGATGCGTGCTTATGATTTACCAGTCTGTCATATTTGTCAATAATACCGAATATTTAATTATTCTTGTGCTTTTCTTTCCTGCTTCTTATCGTCAAACCCACTCAAAAAACACATTCAGAGCAACCCGTTGCTGGTAAGTGAATCGTAACAATATGGTTAACACAACCTGAATTGATTTTTTTTAGCCATTGTTTCATTTTACCTTCATTGTATCATATTAAACGCTTTCTTTATCTGCAGGAAAGAAGAAGTTGTTTAAAATGCTCAAATTTTTAAAGTCCATTGGAAAAAAAGTCAACGAACGATTTCATTTTCAATAATGATACAACTTCCATCCCACCTAAGGCACTAAATTTAACTATGACTGAAATCTCCAATCCACCTGAGACAGTTGAGTCTCTTCACAAATACGAAACATGATCAGGACAAGCGCAGAACTAGCGCAGAAGTTTCTGGGTAAGGCTGAAAATTTCTCTGATGTACAAGTAATATATGTTGTAGTGCTTTGATATTGTTTCTAACTAATGCCTTTGTAGAATCATGTGGGCCAGAACTTCAGGTGGCCTGCCTCAATGGACGATGCCAACAGAAGCACAGCTTTCTTTTACTTGGCTGACGAATCAGCCCTAGAATATGATGACGAATCAGCGCTCAATCCTATCTACTTCTATAACAATATCGATAAAGGAACATTTGATGAGCATAAGGATGACTACGTGTTGGTGTATAAACAAGAAGTGAAGAAATACGGGACATCAGAATATACGAGCAAGGAATTAGAGGACCTCGAAGACGAAATGCCTGACGCAATATATTTACCAGTTGATAAAAAACGTCGTGATAGTGCTGCAGAATCTCCACCAGCAAGAACAGTGTCTGCTCATCATGCTAATCAAGAACACATGGTCTGAAATATTGGTTATTATTACAAAACAGTGCCATCAGTACCATCAGTACCTACAATAAAGGTTAGAAGGTTAGAGTAATGGTTAGAAGATTAGGAACTACGACGACCATTAGCACTCGAGCTTAATTTTAATGATCCCGCCGAAGATGGTAAACTTTATAAGACTGTAATTGATTCAGGTGCACCAGAAACAACCCTTCCTTACCATGTCCGTAGTGTGCTTGGAAAAAAGGGATGACGAGTTTCAAAAGTCCAAGCAATCGGATATGGACACCCTGCTCACGTTTATTATGCATCTTCGACATTTGAAATTGCTCTCGGAGATAATAATGGGTGGAGTAAGTGGGTGAGTATAGATATACTCAGAGTTTGGGAGAAAAGTGCTGGTGACCAAGTAGACAGATCTCTTGTGGGAATTGATGTCCTAGATCAGTTTTCCTTCGTGCACGAACCAGCTCAGGGATTTAAATTTTAAGACAATCAGGCGAAGCTTCTCTAACAAATTTCATAAATAATCTTTTCGCCACATCATTTATTAAGCACGCCTTTACAATAACACACAATTATTATAACAGCTTTTAAAAATTTTCGTAATAATAAAGATATTTTAAAATCATTTTTCAAAAGGGTAAATAAAAATTTTAATAATAAAATCTGCTATTTACTCTATATTACTCAAGGCAATAATAGCAGGTAACCCACCGCTATTAACAAATAATAACGTGTAAAGTATGGCGGACTTATAACTGGAGCGGTTTGCCATAACGTATATGATTTGCGATATTTTAGATTTATTATATTTTAGTGTTCAGAGGAGATAAAAGGTATAAATCAGATCCAAATGTTGTTTATACTCTACAAAACTACTATTTATTAATATTCATTGCTTTAGATAAAAAAGTAAAATTTTGTCATTTTTTTTATAATTATAAATAAATGTAAAAATATGATCTAAGCCATTTAATTTTCGTGCCAGCATTTTTCATGACGGTTGATATCACTATATCGATTAGTTATTAATCCTGTTACAACACAACAGGTTTCAGCTAGTACCATAACAGATAATAAGAATCATATATTTCCTGCTACTTTTTATTGAATTGACTTTAATATGTCTACGATATTAATTTAGAATAGATTATAATGTATGAAAAATAAAAATTGATTAAAATTTTACTAAATAAATTATAATAATTAATAATAAAAAAGAACAATATTAAAATAGGTATTAATTAATTATAAAAAAAAAAAATTTAAAAAATTATTAATTTATTTTTTTATAAAATATATTAATAAATAAAAAAAAAAGGAAAATTAATGTTTATTACATCGCGGACTGGCTGATCAAAAAAAAAAAAGGCAAAAGATTAAGAAAAAGAAAATATTAATAAAGAAAATAACCATTATTAAAATTGTTTAAAGAAAAAAAATCAGTTAGTCAAAAGAAAAAATTTCGTATTTAAAAAAAAACCCAAAAAAAAAGAAAAAAATTTTCGGTTTAAAAAATTAAATTGACATCCTGTTGCGGCTAATCGCATCATCTCAAGAGATTATATTCCGGATAGGCATTAATATTATATTATTATCCGAATATGGAACATAAGGAGTATCTAAATTTGGTCTTCAATGAATTTTTTTAAAAAAAATCGTACGGGCTTTTAATTTATCCGCATATGTGTAAATTGCTGCGTCAAGCCGTACAAGATTCACGTGATTTTTCGGAAAGGCAAGTCCTTTATATCATATATTATATAATAAATTAATTAATAACTAACACAACAATTGTTAAAAAAAAAATTATTTTTCTCTCTGAACTTCGTGAAACAAAATGTTTTTTTTTTTAGCAATTTATTTATAGTTCAATCTTATATGAATTTAAAAATTGTACATATCAGTTCTTCGTTAAACTAAAATGGATAAATATTTTTATAATAATTTCAATCATTAATTTATTTTAATAAAAGAGATGATTTTTTTGGATTAAAATACAAAAGAACAAGTACAACTTTATTCGTGCTATATATAAAAAACAATAAAAAGAAAGTGAATAAAACTTTGGACTAAATTTCAATAACAGTTAATACCATTGCAATTTTCAAAATTTTAAGGCAAAATTCATCCATGATCATGTGTAGTTGATCTAAATAAAGACAGAATGTGAGTACTGTACTATTGAACTAAAAATATGAATGATTTGGGTTGGCATGGTAACAGAACATTTTGCTTAATCTGAAATATATAAAGACACCCTTCAGAAAAACAAAAAGGTCAGCAATGTGCAACTGTTAGTTTTCATCAAGGTTTTGAACCAAGTTACAATCACTAATTTCTGTTATTCATGCAGCAAAAGCCTTGCACTCAAAGATTTGTAATAATCTGAATTCCTAAAAACAGAGAAGGACGTTTAAGTATCATGGTCAGATTTTCAAAAGTAATGCATTATTATTAGACTCGTGTTATTTTGACAATTCTAACGTCATTTTTCTTATTTTATAGAAAAGGCAAGCGCTGCAGTTTGGAAAAATGGCAAAAAAGAGTCATGTCAAAAAATCAAGAAAAAAAGGTTAGCAACGCCACCGAAAAGTTTGTCAGTTACACATCCCTAGTTACATGTGATTTTGGATAGTAGTCTCGTTTTAATCAATTACGTCAGATTAGATAACCACTTTCTCCTCACTATCATATAACTTCTATAACTTTTATAACGAAAGTGTATACAATTTGTTATCTTTATTAAATTATTGTGATACTTGAATGTATTGTGATTTATAATTACAAATACATCTTGAAAAATACGTCAGTTTCGTTGTTATGAAAAATTTATATTTATTAATTTCTTTATCATATTTTTAATTTTTCAAATTATAATAAAAAATATTATAATATAAACAAATAAAACACGATGTGTATCTTTGTTAGATTTATAAAATATGTAGTAAATAAAATAAAAATTTTTTTTTTTTTTTTTTACGTGAAAATGCGCACAACTAAATATAAAAAATAAAGTAAAACCTATCCCAAATTGTGATGACAAACATATCTCGGGTGCGGTCGGTTATTCCCAGTCCCTATAATATCGACAGTCTATAATCCCGACACCAAAATCCCGATAAATGCAGAATCCCGATGATCTAAATCTTGACAGCCAAAATCCTGGCTGAGATTCGATCAGATGAATTTGAGTTTAGTTAATTTTTTTGTTTCTAATTTTAGATGATAAGAAACAGTTTAGTAGTCTAGTAATATACTGTACATAATCCTTTTAACTAAGATAAAAAATTTTTTCTTTTAATTTCATTAATAATATAGTAACGTTAGTTAATTTGCATTAATATTAATAAAATTTGTAAACAATTTACATTGGTATTAATAAAATTTACAATGAATTAACCTCTTACTGCGTCATTTTAAAATTATATTTATAAAAAACCTTTTGGATTTTGATTGTCAAGATTTTTAACTGTCGGAATTTGTGACTATCGGGATTTTATTTCAACTCGGGATCTTGGTGTCGGGATTTTATGGTAAACCCATGTTCCTGCATCAGGTCTTTAGCTTCAATCAACTCAATGAATCTGTGCCGTCCATAATGGTATTTAAATTAAGACTTAGGTACACATTGCCTATAAATACACAATAAATAAGTTAAATATATGAAACGAGAAATTTCCTCAATCTACTAGCGAATGCAATAAAATAAATGTATGCGGATTACAGTTTATAAAGTTTATTTTTGAGCCGGAGATGATCATTGCGAAGTAACTAGCATCGATCAAAAAAAAAAAAAAGTATTAAAAAACAACAGATAAAGCCTGATCGGGAGAAATTTTATTTGTAATTTTTCATCGATATTATTTCGATTCCCAATAGGTACATAATAATAAAACGTCATCCGAACGTCGGAACCATTTTTGAGCAGCGCGAACGGAACGAATGGTTCCATGAGATTCGACTCTGAAAGTCGGTTTTGGCCAATTAGATCACGTGCCGCTGCATATTTCCAAAAAAGGAATTTTGTGCGGATCATATAATTCTGGCCGGAATTATGAATTATCAGAGCCGGTTCAAGTCGATTCGGTTTGACTCGTTCCGGTTCGTGAAACCGAAACCGAACCGATAGAGTCGTCCCATCCCTAAATGCAGTGCAGTAAAGCTAACACTCCGGACAATCATGTCAGTGCATAATTTATTTTTATTTTAATAAATAAATATAAAGCGGAAGGTCGAATAACACGTGATCTGTAATTCCGGCCAGAACTTTCGTAATGTCGGCCTGTATCACATGCGGAGTTGGTTAAACCCGCACTATGCTTTGACTCGAGTCCTGACTCGAGTCCTGGCTCGGGTTACTCTGAGTTCTCGAATTTACTCGTTCTGATTCGAGACCAACCGGCCAAGTTCTACAAAAAACGACGCTTGTAAAAACAATTAATTATCCTTTAATATCCTCACAAGTAATTACAGTATGTACTTGTTCGTAGAATCATTTAAGAAATTATTATGTTAACACAGAGAATTAATTTGTCCAGTTTATTCTTAATGTCTACAACGAGACTCCATGGGAATTTGAAAATTCCGTGATTTACTCTGCTTCTCGTGTTTAATAATGTGCGTCATCGGAAATACTCGATTTGTTTAGTACAATATCGAAAAGTTTCGTTTCTATGTAGTAAAATTTGAAAAGTAATTTTATTATGTATAAAAATAAATAAATATTCTATATTGAATTTCTTACCAATAATATCGTTTTAAAAATAACTTTGGAAGAAACTTTTAAATTAATTAATTACGTAATTTAAATCTACTCGATTGGATTAATATGACTTTAAAGATTTTCCTTTTTTGATATTAGGCGAAATAAATAAGTATTGATAAACAAAGAATTTTTAGTGCCAAGAAATCGAATAAAGAAATCTTGTTGCCACATTTATTTTGATTTACCAAATTCGGTTCATTTACATTATGATCAACGAGTTTATAAATAGGTTAATTAATTTTTATTTGTTTATTTAAAATACGGGTATGGCGCCAAAAGTGTGAAAAATGTGAAAAAATAATAATGCGTTTTTAATTTCAGTCAGACAATTTTTTTTTCTTATAAATTTCTTTTTTGAAAAAAAAATTTTTTTAGATTAAGTTTTGTCTGAATTTAATGATTCTTTTTTTTTTTAAATAAAGCAAAACTTTCTTTTTTTTTAAANTTTTTTTTTTTTTTTTTTTTTTACGACTTTATACAAAAACATATAAAAAAAAAGAGAACGCAACGAACATAATTTTATTATGAACGACACAATTACTTTACGTCGTTGGAGAATATTCCAACTTATATTGTCAACCATCATGTTATCCCTTGGTATATATATTTATATATATATTTATAGATATAATAATATTTTTACCTCAAACTTAAAAAATGAAAATTAATTAAAATTATTAATTATTAGAAATATCGAACATCATATTATACGATTCTTTTAATCCTACTACTGATATTAAATTGAATAATGAATTTCAATTACTTCGAGATAAGTAAGTATTGGATGAAATTTTTCCAATTTTTTTATTATGTTAAATATTTAAAACATTAACCAAAAATTATTTATTATTTATTATTTGAATAATTTCAGAAATAGATTTATCATCTCAATCGTATGCCTGCCGACGATATTAATATCAATTGCCCTATTAGGTATAATATACATTATTTAAAAAAGAATTCAAAATACGCAGATTGTTTCGTAACGATTTATACAAATTTCTCTAATATATTTTTTTTTTAATAGTATATGTTACTATTAAAGGTGAAAAGATTGTTAAAAGAGTTAAACTTATACAGAAAGCTGATAAGCTCAAGAATATCGAAATAGAAGTAAAGCAATCTAACGGATTATTGTATAAAATAATTAGCCGAAATATTAACTCGTATGTAAAAAATTTATTTAAGAATACATAATATATTTATTATAAATATTTAACTCTGAATTTTTTATTTTTCTTCTTTATTTAGGATATTATTGTTTACGTGGTCTTTAACAGGTGATTTTTATGATTTTTATTTTTTTTTTAAAAGTCGGATTTTTTTTTTTTGCGTTAAAATATTAATAAAAAATCTTTTTTATTAATCGAATTATTTATTTATTTTTTAGTTATCTTAAACACGATATTATTCCATAAAAATAGGGATTTGTTGTGCAATAGGTTGGAAGAGAAAGAACGTAATTCAATTCTCTGCAATGATTTTATAGCTAGTCTTGTGTTAAGCATTCTAATGTTTTTGTCATGTATTTATATAACATTTATGAAACTTTATTATTCATCTCATGATAACAAACCAGGTGAAATAAATTTAAAGGAATAAGATTTACGAATAGAATTAATAGAATTGACGCAACAACTTCTGAGATGAATAGAGAAAAATTAAGGATATATTCAGTACATGTTACGTGATTTAAACAATTATGTACTTTTATACTGTATAACAAATCAAAATATCATTTATATCAATAAAAATATCTATATTATCTTCGATGATGTAAAATATCTGATCAAGATAACTAGGATAACGCCCGCTTTGGGTAATGGAGAAAAGCAAAAGTCCCATGATCGTTGATTAACATTGGTATGGTTTTTGTGATGAATTATTTCATATGTTCTTTTTTTTTTAACAAAGTCGTTATTGAATAATAATAAGACACGAAAGAATATCAACTAGTGTTCGTTTGATTTTTTAAATTTTTTACAATCGTTATTTAAGAATTTAGTGCAGGGATCCTTTTGGTAATTAATGTGATCATTTGTAATCACGTTTATTTCTTAAAATACACATGGCGTGGACTTTATGTGCGGCCTTAAAGAATTTTTCGTATTTTTTTCTTAGTCAACAAGTTTTACTTAAGAGTGAAAAGAAGGTTTGAAAGTTCATTTGATTTTTATTTGATAGAAACCCATTTATTTTCGCTTTATTTAATAATTTGAAAACCATTGTGTTTATATATATACATTCAGATAATTGCACTGTACCGATGAATTTTCATGACCCATTCACAATTAATAAAAAACCTCATTGTACCGATATTATATAATCTCGCGATGTAGTATGTACCTGTCTCTTATACACATCTAGATGTGTATAAGAGACAGGTAGTATGTACCCGATATTTTAAGTTACACTAGCATTATTTGTTAACGATTTGGCTGAAATTAACTGAAATTACAAAATTAATTTTTTTTTTTTTTTTTTGGAATTTTGAACCATCTTAATTCCGGTCAGAATTAGACTAGCACAAATTATAATCTACCGATAATTTATATTTTTCCCTAAAGCAACAGTATCGGTGCATCAAAGTTTGAATTATGTTAAATCTTGTTATTGTAAAATTGATTGATTTCTTTTAATTATTAGCAGAATTATTTTCTGAAATTATCGTGCTAGGTTTATAAATTTTTTATTTGGCGCCAGTAGCTCCATATTTTAATACATACTAGGAAAATGGAAACCGTTCAAGTCCTTCGCGTTGCATTGTGGCATATTTCAGGGGTCAAATAGGTAATGTTACATAAATCGTGATACATATTCAAAAAAAAAGGAAATAAAATTGTCGATTGTGACAGGGACAAAAACAGGGGTTAAATATGTTAAATAGTTCTTCGCTACGCTTCGGACAATTAATAATACAAATTGACAAATATACGCTATTGGGCATAATTGCTGATTGATAAAACGATACATAACACACGAGAATTGCGGATTGACTAATTCAGATAAAAAGGATCAATTTCTTGATTATCTCTTTGTAAGTAAAATATCATGGCAAAACATAAATGATCTTCGCCGAACGAAAAAATTCTGAGTACAAAAATTAAGAAAACAAAATAAATATATTTTTATTATCATTATAAATATATTATGAATAATAAATTTCACTTATAAAATGTAATAATAATTATAAGATTTAGGTTAGTTCATAATCTATTAATAAGAAAAATGTATCTTTTCAAAAAAAATAAAAATTAAATTAATTTACTAATTCACCTACTATTGCTTCATTAGTAGGGTTTGATATTTTATATACAAATATATCTTTGATTGCCTTTTCTATTCCTAATAGAATAGGACTAAATAAATAATACATTAAATCTTATAAATTCCATGAGTCCCTTTTCCAAATTCTGGTCAGAGTCCATACGGTATAGTATGTTTAACGCAATCTCGCTCATGATTTTACAATATTAGAAGAAGACAGTGTTAGAACATGGGCGGGTCATTTTAAATTCTTTAAAATGACGCCGGTGATTATGAATATGTTCTATGATTCTTTGGTCGTTACGAAGGAGTCCGAGGAGAATGCGTGTATGGTTTCTCAAGATTTTAAAGAAATTATGACTTAGAGTAATACCATCCGGCACTTGAGATACTAATAATATGATCAGCGAAATCAAAAAAGTAAAAGCAATTTCTTGCAATAAAATTAGGTACCTGCTTGTCCAGATGATCCAAAATTCTGAATTATATGAATAAAATTAAAATTCTGTAAGATATTTCTACTAAAAATCATCACGAGACCGAATCTTAATCATGTAAATCATATACTGTAATTTAGCGATATTAATATAAAATATTAATAATATTTAAAAGAATAAAATTTATGATTAAAAGACTTCACCTTCAAGGCTACAGATATCATGGGATTGAAAGGGATGTTTTTTCATCCAACTGGTTAGCTTAGAAGTTTTACCTTTTAAGGTCTCAATCAAATAAGGGAGGAAGGAGAGCTAGGGAGCAGGTTACTCTGGATTATAAAATCTTTTTTAGTTTTTAAAATTCAACCTTGTTTTAGAAAAATTTAATTAAATAAAAAGTATTTTCAGCGTTAATTAACATTAAAAAATACTTCATTCAAAAATACCTTACAAAGCAATATTAGATTTCAACATGATTATATTATCCTTATTTATCCCTTATTGCAGATACATTTTTCACCGATCTTAATTTTTGTAAAAAAATACTCATTTTAAGAAAATCATTTTATAAGCTCATGATTTTTACCGGTTAATCCTTTCTGTTTTTCAAAAATTCTTAAAGTTGACTAAATTCAGATATTATTATGTCATTATCACCCCATTATAATTTTATTACTAAAAAAAGATTCTCGGCTAAATCATTAACGGCATCTTACAATATATTGAATCGGTTGTTCTAAAGGAATATTTTAACCAAAAATAGATTAGCAGGAAGTAGATCATACAAAGTATTCTAAATTGGTTTTCCTTAGTAATTTTTTATTCACGTGTCTCATAAAAAGATAATTATTCTATAATAACCATTTGTCGTAAATATTATGTAATAAACACGATATTTGCCAATCTGTGAGATCAATGACTTTATGAATATGGTTTTTGTAATGTATTTGTTGCCAGAGTACAACATACCGATAAAATTTGCGACCAAAAAATGCTGTTATAACATTTGTTTATCGTTCTTTTATTCAAAGACTAGATGGATTTTTTAAAAAAAGTGCGAAAAATCATTATGGCTAATATTTATTGTTGTTGAGATTGAACTCCTACTCGTAAATCAAGACTCGGATCACGTGATTAATATTGCAAACTAATACGAGTTCAGAATGTCATTTGATAGTCGCGCAGGTGGCTTTATATTAATGGATAATTCTAGCTAGTTTATTTTCATTTTATGCAATTAAATATACGTAATACGCACAATTGTATGAGTATTAGACGAAAATCGATAATCGATATGCAACACGATTATAGATCTTAGAACAATTCTTGCGTATAAGAGGTTCATAATTCGAAAAAAATGATGGTAATGTCGAATGATCAAGACATAACAATATAACATAAAAAAAAAATTACATTATCACTGAAAGTTCTTCCTTAAAAATTATTCCACATCCTTTATAAAAATTCGCGTATATAGTCGTAAATAATCCAAATTCATTGAAATTGGGTACGACAGCATTCAGTTTGCTGGAAAAGTTCAAAGTTAATATGATTCGAAAAATTGTTTCAAGACTTATTAGTGAAATGATATTATTGTCCATACACAAATTATCATTAAACGTTATCATAGTGAAAGCATCATTTATAGCGATACTGCGGGCTGCGGTTGGTCTTTTTTTATGAGATCGTCAGTTAAAAAAACCGAATTGGTAACCGGTCAATCTACCGAATTACTAATTAGATATTAACACAAAATTACTGTACGTTTTTGCTTTGAAATCCAAATTTAAGCTTTGTACACTTGTACCGGCTAATTTTAAACCCATCAATTTTTTTTTTAAAAAAAAATTTGCACTTATGCATATATATACTGTAGTTTACTCATTATAAAAAATTTTCATATGTGCGATTTTCTTTTTAATATTTGGAATTTTTTATATTAAACAAAACGAATTTCTATATATATAAAGATATACTTAGAAAAAACATGAAAAACAGAAATATTACGCCATCGCGTCATCAAATTTAATTGAAACAATATCAACAATATCAACCAAACGTTATTGAAGATCATTATTACAAACGGCAAGATCATCGATATACAACTGAATTGTTTGTCGTACAAGTACAGTGTGTCCTAAAGTATAAAAATAACTCATTAATTTTCGAAAAAAAAATTTTTCCCTCCCTTACATTTGTTTTTTTTTTAATAAAAAAGAAAGAAAGAAAAAAAAAATAAAAAAAATCAAATGTCGAAACTCAATAATGACGTACTTTTCTTGATATTAGAAGAATTAAATGATGATGTAAAAGCTCTTTACTCATGTCTATTAGTTAACAAAACTTGGTGTCAAAATACGGTTCCAATTTTATGGAAAAATGCTTTGAAATATTTTAAAACAGAATCAATAAATTTAATTATTATGCATTTATCAAATGAAACGAAAGAATATTTAAAATGTCAACGCATTTTATCGCCAGTTGAATTTCAGGAAAAACCTTTATTTAATTATATTGGATATATTAGATATTTAAATTTAACACGCTTAGAACAGTTACTTTTTAGGATAAGAAATGTTGAAGAATATAAAATCTCTAATATTATAGATGAAATATTAGAATTATTTATTAATAGAAATACAAAAGTTACTCATCTTTATATACCATCAGATTTTAATCATCAAATTCACCTTATTCCAGGAGCAGAACATTGCTTCTCAGGACTTAAGTTTCTTTATTGTAGTACTGATGATACAAATCAAAATCTTTTAGAAGGATTGTCTAAAATAAGTAGATTAATTAGAAAAATGGAGTTATTTGTTTTAACAAGTAATTTTTCTGGAATTATTAAATTAATTGAATCTCAAAAACATTTAAATGAAGTTTGGTTTTACTGTCAAAATAAATCAATTCGTGAATCTCTTGAAGAATCATTAAATTGTCGTACAGAAATTGTTAAACATGTAAAATTATTTTTTAATTAGTTTTATTTAATAATTTAGAAAACATTTTACATCACATATAAAATTTATTTTTTTTATGGAGGACAATATTATTAGGTTTTTTTTTTTATTTAGGTTAGTTTAAATCATAAAACGTTTGGTTTTTCTATTAAATTTTGAATTTCGAACCTTTTTTTTAAAAAATTATTTGTAGTTTTAAACAAATTCTCACATAAATTAAAATACCTATTATTATTGTAATCTTCTTTTCTATTTATTTTAAATAAACAATTTTATTATAAAATATTTCTTCTAAAACAAAAAAAAAGTAAAAAGTAAAATAACCGGAAATTATCCGAAATCCTCCCTTGTATTTTCGGAATATGTTTTTGAAAACGTGAAAGATCTTGTTTCGGAGGAATGACTATTTCGGTCTTTAACCGATATTAGCCCCTTTATCTATGTCGATCATAATAAAATCTAATTATATATATTCATGTACTTTATTTCTTAAAAGAATTGTTGGGTAAAAGTGGTATTACTGGTATAGCGGTTTTTAATTTATAAATTTATAGTAAAATTTAATAAAAATTGAATACATCGTTCATTCTCAAAGAAAATAAAATAAAATAAATAAATAAATAAAATTCATATTTAAATTTATTAAACATTCTATACTATAATAATTAATTATTATTTTATTCTATCCCTGATTCGTATTTGATAAAAAAAAATCGATAAAAATCCAGAACCTTAAAAAGTTTTCATATTTTTTTCAAAAATCGGAATTTTCACGAGCCAATCATCAATCATGTATAATGACGTAAATCAATCGGGTTTTTTCAGTTAGTCCAAAACAGTTTTTATTTAATGAATCACAATTTAATATCCAGTAAAATTTCTCAGATCAATTTATCCATCCCAATAACGGTAATGTGAATTTACGATATTCGAATTAGTTTGAAATAGTTGTATTCTTTAATGTAAATGAGTCGACAAAGTGAATTAATTTTGAAAAAAAGAACGATAAAAATATTATTTATCATAAAATATTTATAAAAAAAAAAAAAAAGAAGAAATGAGAATAAAAAAAGTAATTTGATTTTGTACAACTTTTGGAAGAAAAAAAGTATTTTCCAATAAAACGAATGCATCTAATCAAAGACTATTGTTTTTTACTTATGGCTTAGCTTGATTTATTGCGCCTCTCCAATAATTCCTTTACGTGCATATTTCTCGTTTTCATACTAGTATTTATTAAAAAAAATGTTGAGCGAGATATGAGCCATTCCCAATATCAACTTGATGAGGCTATAAAATGACTAATGAAATTACGAAATTTAATATTTCTATAAATTACTTTTTAACGTCGTTATACATTATTGTGATCTTAAAATTCCCAAAACCATGTCAATCTCATGGCCAATAAAAATTTTTTAGAAACACAAAAACGTAATTCTAATTTATTTTGTATAAGACCTTTTTAAACATAGCATTTAACAATTTCTTTTTTTATCCATCGGACTTATGTCCGATGTACTATTACGTTAACCTAAAATTTCATGGTCGATCATATCGTCACAATACCTATTACTGCATCAAGTAAACATTCAACCCAAATATTTGTTATAAATATTTCCAAGTGGTACCACTATTATTTAAACACACAAACGCCATTCTTCAACTAATATTTTTAAGACAATATTTATTATAATCTTTTATAAAATTATGTATTAGCTGTTGGTTCATCATTATCTATCTATCATCTTAAAATTTTTTTTTTTTTCAAAGAAATTTAAATTATTGAAATGTATAATTAATATTTTTTTTTTTTTAATGAAAGATGATATTGTTTAGGTTGAATATAACTCAATATAACTCAATCTGGGTCACAATATTGTGGGATGAACCAAAAGGCGTTTTTCAGATTTCCAAATAGAACTCTCACTTTGTGGTAGGTGCCTCAAGGAATATCAATATATGTAATTTAATGCTGCTTATGGAAAAATTTATTTTTAACCATATTTAGGATGGGATTCTATTACGTGAATTATTCTAGAAGTAATCCATGACTTCTCGTGGAATATTAATTGTATTAGAATATTCATCCTTCAACAGAGTTTTTTTTTACTACTTGTATTTATCCATAAGACCGTAACGGCAGTTATGGCAGTAATGGCACTATTATACGATTATATTCTGATATAACTCTTAAATCTTTCAATCGTAAGTCATCTTATATATTTTATCATTTTTTGTGGTGATTTGTAATTAATTCTAAGCCATTTACCGATTCAGTAGTATTAGGAAAATTTCCTGAGTTTGAAATCAGTTACTACAGGATACGTTCAAAGGACAACGTAAATTGATAAAATTAACTACAAAGAGTGGAATCAAAGAAGCAAGAAATAAGTTAATCAGGTATTTATTAAGAATTAATTATATGTTATAATATTTAGAATAATGAATTTAACGTTAAACTATCTGTATTACAATTACAATATTTCTAATATAATAAACCATTTTATTTTTATAAGCCATAACAAAATAAATCATAATAAAAGCGTAAACAATATGGGTATGAGCGTGTGATGTCACAATGATGTAATCATATATTTCAAATATTAATTGGTTAAAATCAATTACACGTTCGCCTTTAACACCTTTAACACTCTCAATGTGAGAAAAAAAAATTAAATTTTTATTACGACGACGACAGGACTTGAACCTGTGCGGGCAGAGCCCATGTGATTTCTAGTCACACTCCTTAACCACTCGGACACGTCGTCAATACATACATAAAGTAGACCTATTGACACGAATTTTGTCTAATTAATAGATTGATAGTATAATCAGATGCTTGCACTTTTTTTCGTAAGTATCTAAAAAGAAGTGCAGGGTTTGGATCGTTATGGTTAGAATTAGGGTTGATTAGGATCAGGTAAAGAAGGTTGAATGGCGAATGAGGTGTTAAAGGAGATTACAATAGTGAGATTTTCTTGAATACTATTTAACATAATCAACCACTCTAAATATAATGATAAAAATTGAGAAAAAAAAAATTAGGTCAGGAGAACGAGCGAGGGGCACAATCCCAAAGAAATAATAAATGTTCGATATTTTTCTTTACGATTGAATAAATAACCAAATAAAAGACTAGACTTGCAAATTTATCGTTAGGCCGTTTCAACTTGATTGTTTGTTTAACGTCCAGATTTTCTGAAAAGTTTGAGGGGAGGAAGGTTACCGTTACTAAATGAAATACATAATAAAACTTGGAAATTCCGGGAAATTTCAGAAAAATTCAGAAACCCATATTTTAAATTTAAAGAGGACATATGTTGTTATATGTGTATCAAAATTTAGATTTTTTAAAAAAATAGGGTGGGTACGTTAAACAAACAATCATGTTGGAACTCTATAATTTACGAATTTGGGAACGACTAATACGCTTTATAATTCACATTATAAAATTTAACACTCCTTTACAAAATTATCCAGATCGTAAAAATAAGACGCCGTTATTTTCTTAGTATTTGTCGTTATCAACTTTTTATATTGATACTACGAATTCAGGAACGATTAATACGCTTTATATATACTGTTTCTCAACTAATTCATCGTAAAAATAAGACGCCGTTATTTTTTTAATATTTATCATTATCAACTTTTTACGAATCATAAGAATTTTAGAAGATAGAAAATATATACTTACTGTATACTACGACTTTATCGTTATCAATAACCATAATTAAAATATACATTGATAAAATAAAACTAACCAAACATATCTAAAATCCACATATATATATATATATTTACTTAAAAAAGATTAACAATATAGTACAATATATCATATTATTGAAAAATTATATAATGATAATAATAATAATAAAATAACTTTTTCTTTCATTTAATCAAGCCATTCAAAATTTTCAAAAGTACTCTCAGATAAATTATGATAATATTTCTTAATTATTCCTTCTGCTTTATATTTTTCAGTAAGATTAAAATATTTCAAAGTACTATAACTTGTTTGTAATAACATAGGATTTCTATTTTTACCTTTCCAATTTTCAAAGAATAATTCTAAAGATTCTACTTTAGGTCCTTTATAACAAGTAAAAAAGATTTTAAATTTATATAAATTAATTGGTGATGAATCAGTTAATATTTTAAATAAATTATTCCAATCAAGTTCATTTCCTAATATAATAATTAATCCACTTAAATCTTGACAATTAATTAATAAATTTTTCAATTCTAAAATATTATAATTATTAAATATTAATTTAAGATATTTAAGTTTTGGACAATTTTCATATATCGCTTGTATAAGATCTTTATTATTATCACCTTCACGATCTATACAAATTTCCGTAAGTAATCCTCTCGTATTTTCAATTAAATTTACTAAAATTTTAGAAGAGATTCTTTTGACTTTTAAAAATTTTAAGGAAGGTAAAGATAAATTTTCTAAATAACTACAATTTGTCCAATTTGAATAATAAAATGAATCTATTTCTAAACTTTTTAAATTTACAAGATATAAAATACTTCTCGTGACAGGCATCCAATTTATTTTTAAATATTTAATAGTATCTACATGTTTAATTAATAATTCTTCAAATACTTTACAAAATGATTCATCATTTGTCATTAAACGATTAAAAATAACATCACATAAATTTCTTTGCGTATCAATTAATTTAATCGCTCCAGAATTATTATTACTAAATTCCAATATTAATTTTTTAATGGATTTACTTATTCTAGCCAATCCTTTTAAAGTATCTTTTTTAATATTACCATAACAATGAAGAAATTTAAGTTCAGAAAAACAATATTTAGCATCTGGAATCAAATGTATTGGTAAATTACATTGTTGTGATATAAATAAATAAGTATACATAGTATTTCTATTAATAAATAATTTTAATATTTCATTCTTTATAATAGAAATTTTTGTTTCTTCAATATTATTTATTTTAGAAAATATATTTTCTAAACGAAATAAATCAAAATATTTACAAAAACTAATATAATCAAATAAAGGTATTTGTCTTAATATTATTGAATTTAAATTAATACCTTGATCTTTTAAATTTTCTTTAACTTCATTTGATAAATGTGAAAGGATAATATTTATTGATTTTTCTTCCTCTTTTAAATTTTTTAAGAAATTTTTCCATAATATTGGAACGATAATTTTACACCAAGTTTTATTAACTAATAAACATGAGTAAAGAGATTTTATATCATCTTCCAACTCTTCTAATATCAAAATGAGTACATCTTTATTGAGCTTTGACATTTTGTTTATTTTATTTTAAAAAAGAAAAAATCGGAGAATGAAAGGAATGAAAGGAGTAAGTGCGGAGAAATTTGTCATTGATATCACTTTATAGCGTAAATGTACGACATGGAAGATAATTTTCCGGTTGATTGCTGCGTCAATTTGAGCGCTGCGCTATCGTATCTGCGCCATGAAATTGGTCCATTATATGAGTATTATATGCAATTGGTCAAAAATAAAACGTTTTACCATTCATCCCAATTAACATTCTTTCGTTTTATAGCGTAAATGTACGACATGAAAGATAATTTTCCAGTTGATTGCTGCGTCAATTTAATGAGCGCTGCGCTATCGTATCTGCGCCATGAAATTGGTCCATTATATGAGTATTATATACAATTGGTCAAAAATAAAACGTTTTGCAATTAACATTATAGCGAAAGTGTACGACACTACGACATGGAAGATAATTTTCCGGTTGATTGTTGCGTCAATTTTAATGAGCGTTGCGCTTTTATGTCTGCGCCATGGGCGATTAATTTAAATTGGACCATTATATGAGTATTATATACAATTGGTCAAAAATAAATCGTTTTACTATTCATTCCAACTAACATTCTTTCGCTTTATAGCGTAAGTGTACGACATGGAAGATAATTTTCCGGTTGATTGTTGCGTCAATTTTAATGAGCGCTGCACTGTCGTGTCTGCGCCACGGGTGAGCGGTTAATTAAAATTGGTACCAATATATGAGTATTATATGCAATTGGTCAAAAATAAAACGTTTTACCATTCATCCCACTCAATTAACATTCTTTCGCTTTATAGCATAAGTGTACGACATGGAAGATAATTTTCCGGTTGATTGCTGCGTCAATTTTAATGAGCGCTGCGCTATCGTATCTGCGCCATGAAATTGGACCATTATATGAGTATTATATGCAATTGATAAAAAATAAAACGTTTTACCATCATCCCAATTAACATTCTTTCGTTTTATAGCGTAAATTTGCGACATGGAAGATAATTTTCTGGTTGATTGTTGCGTCAATTTTAATGAACGCTGCGATATCAGCGCTATTAAATTTCTGCGTGTCCTGCGCCATGAGTGCCATTATATGTAATTGATCAAAAAATCAAACGTTTCGCCATTCATCCCAATAAACATTCTTTCGCTTTATAGCGTAAGTGAACAACATGGAAGATAATTGATTGCTGCGTCAATTTTAATGAACGTTGCACCATCAAATTTCTGCGTGTCTGTGCCATGGACGCGCGATTCTCACCATTATATACAATTGATCAAAAAGTAAAACGTTTTGGCAAAACGTTCATTCATCCCAATCCCAATTAACATTCTACTACAATAAAACATGTCGTATATTACAGCTCAATGAGGTTAAAAATTCAAGTTTATTTAAAAATAATATATTATATAAAGTCCCACCACACTCCCACTTTAGATTTTTACTAATTCGACACCATAATGTTTAGTTAAATTAATATAATCTTGATCAAAACCATTAGAATCATTAAATTCTAAATATTTTAAATTACAACCACTATTTAATATTGATTCAAATAAAAAATAATTTAAAGAATTAATAGATATAATAGAACAATTAGTTTCCCTAAATCTAATTCTTTTTAAAGTTTTAGGTAAAAAATTAGCCAAATTTTTTAAATTTTCTTCAAATAAATCATCATTTGATAATATTATACTAAGAAAATTAAGTTTAATACAAGATTTAAGTATAAAAATCAATTCATTTAAAAAAATTTTTGGTAATTCTAAATATTTTAAAGAAATTAAAAAAGTAGGAAAATTTTGAAATAATCTAATACCTTGTTTTTCAACTCTTTCATAATTTATAACTAATTTAATTAAAGTATTTGAAGAAGAATGAATTAATTGAATTAAAAAATCTTCAGAAATATTTGTATAATACCTTTCAACAAGTTCAAAAATTTCAAGTTTTGATAAATTTTTTGCCCAAGAATGTAAATTATCATTTATCTTTCTACATTTATATAATTTTAAAATTCTTATATTTTTAAGTAAACTTAAAGATTTTATAACATTTGTATTAATATCACCAAAATATAAATTCTTAAATTCTAATATTTGTAAACTTTCACTTTGAGTTGATAAAGAACTTAAAACTATATTATATTTATTATCAGAATTACTATAAAATAATCTATCCAAACTATAAAATAATAAATCATAACGATTTTCTGATAATATAATATGTTTTAAATTTTTTTGTATAGAAATGAATTGAGATAAATAATTTGCTTCTTCAATAGTTTTAATCCTTTTGTTATAAAGTAAATTTAAATTACAAATTGTATTTGTAAGTGTAAAATAAAGACTTTTTGGTAATAATATTTCATTATTCAAATTATTATTATTATTATTATTATTATTATTATTATTATTAATATTATTATTACTATCTCTACTTATATAACTATTAATATAATATAATTCTTTTAAATCACTTAATTTACTTTTTCCATTACAATCTTTAATTGTTAATAATTCAATTATATCATTATTTTTCATAGTAAAAGGAAATTCTAATATTGTTAAATTATTCAAATTTTTACATAAAAATTTTACGAAATAATTCATAATTTTAATTATTAAATCCGTTGACATCATTCTTGGATTATATGATGATAACCATATTTCTTTATATATAATTAAATACTGTGATTTAAACATTAATTCATCAACTATTAATCCACGTATTAAAGAAATATAATTAAAAACTGTATTATTAGATTTAATTTTATAAAATTGATTATTATTATTATTGTTGTTGTTGTTGTTGTTGTTGTTGTTGTTGTTGTTGTTGTTGTTATTTTTTAATAGTTGTATTATTTCGGTTTGTGGAACACAACATAATAATGTACGAATCAATTTATAAAATGAATTATAAGAAGTTTTATGACGAAAATGATGAAATGGATAAGAATATAAAAGTGGTGTTGATATTCTACACCAATGTCTTGATACTAAAGTACATGAAAATAATTCTTTTGATGGTATATTTGAACCGATATCATTAAAAGAATGTTCTTTAATAAAATTTAAAAAAATCTTTTCTAAACATTCTGAAAGTAAAAATGATGCCATCATATATTTTTTTGAGGGAAACAAGGAAAAAAAATTTTTTTTTTTTTTTTTAGGGAAAAATTACAAATATTAATAATGCGCAAATTTCGGATGTAGCCAAATTTGGTAAAATTAGATAGCTTTTAAGTTAATAGTTAAGTGGGATGTAGATCTCAATTATGTGAACTTGACGATTTTTTTTTTTTTAAACTGAAAAATAAATAATTAATAATAAATCACATGATCTCACACGTATTCTTATTTATATTTGGAATGGTTCCTTTATTTATTATTATTTTTTTTTTAAAAGTTCTTTTTTTTAGACGAGGTATCATACAAACGGTTTAATTGAAAAAATTATATTAATTGTAACATTAATAAATTCGATAAAATGACCGTTGAGATTTAAACATTAATTAAAATAACTGAAGATAATGTCGAGTTTATATAATATAGTACGATTCAATTATATAGTACGATTCAATATAATAGTATTGTTCAAAGATTTTCATATTTATATTATGTCAGCCAGTCATTATCGACCATGCGGAATATCTGATATTTTTTTGATATTTTGAAATATCTTTAATAATATGATAATATGATAATCATACCCAAATTGTTAAAAATAATCTTAGGATCATTAAAAATATGCAACTTAAAAATAATCGTCTGTCGATTATCTGGGGGAAATTTGTTTCCGAATATATTATGATATTTTATGATGTCCAAATTTGGAAATGTCTCCGAATGTGAGTGATCTTTAATTTACGTTTATTCCATTTAAAATAATTATAATTACCAAAAAAAGGTTCTTTTTTTATTAATAAAAATTATAAGGAAATTTTATAAAATATTATTATTGTTTTAATAAGGACCAAAGAATATCAATCCTATCATATCGAGTATTTAGATTAATATAAAATTACATAACACAAATTTTTCATAACTTTGATACAGATTGACAGTATATTATTCAGAAGTAACTAGTGAGGTAATTATCGTACCGTCCCCTTGCAATTTCTAGTATCGGAGTACCCGGTGGCCGGTGCTAATTTTGGAAAAAGGTAATTTCAAGTTGCACATACTATACCCGGGCCGGGGTACTACTTGGAGTCTTGGATTTGCATTAAAAAGTTTTCATCGAAATTAACGACGCTTAATAAAAATGTAAAGTATTTGCCGAAGTTATATTGAAGTGATAAAATTTTTTTCGTTTTTTTTTTAAGTATTGTACTTGATACATTAAATATTGAAGATATGAGAAATCATTCAATTATATATATAAATCTTGACAATTACCATTTTATATGTTTATATTCAAAGTTTTATTGAAAATCTTAAAAAAAAAAAATTTAATAAATTAATTTATATTAAAAAAATCCATATTTTAAGAACAAATATACAGGAGGCATGTGGAAATAAACGAATAAAAAATAATTTAAATAAAAAAAAAAAATTGCCACTTTAGTTTATGAATTAAAAATCGTTAGACTTTTTTTTAAAAAATGTCTCTAATGTCTCTTTATTGAAAATAAATAATTGTTCCGTTTATATATCCTAAATATTTTATATGTATATGTATATGTGTTTGTCTATTTATAATGATTTTTTTATACATGTGTATATGATTTAAATTAATTTTTAAAAATTAAGCTATCCGCAAAATTATAAAAGTTTATCATTACGTTCATAACCTTCAAAATACTATCTCTAATAAAAACTCCAAAAGGCCCAATTGGCGTGGAACTTTTAAACGTGACAGTTCTAGATTTTAATACATCAGCGGATGTTCGTTTTAACATTTCTTTTTCATATTCTTTAATAAAAGAAATATTATTGTCCGTATATTTAAGTAATGCTTGAGAAAGTTTATCGGCATCTTGAATTGCATTATTTGCTCCTAATCCTAATACAGGACTCATAGCATGAGCTGCATCCCCTAATAATACAACTCGACTACTTGTCCATGATTTGATAGACATTGGATCAATATCTTGCATCATTCTTCGTTGTACAGGATTATAAGTTTTAAATGGAAACTTTATTGGACCATTTGGAATTGTTTTAGGTGCCAAGTCCCATAATTCCAACAATAAATCAGTTAATTCACAATCTGGTCTTAATGTTCGAATTAATCGCTTAACATGTTCAATAACTGATGCGGGATCATTATCATCAACTTTAACTTTATCAGATTCAACATCAACGTTATTCAATTCGGAGGGATACGAATATACTAATGTAACTCTATAATGAGGTTCATCCTTCTTGTCATTTTGTTCTTGTTCGATTGGTATAAAGCGTGAAATCATAAATGATGAATCTCCTTTTGTTCCAAGAGTTTTACAGGCTAAAATATTTCCATTGATTTTATTTATCTTGTTTATAAGATGTTTAGGTACGGAAATATCTGCACAAACATGGGTTATTCCATAATTAAAGATTTGTAATTCAGGTAATTTCTGTTTTCGTACTAATAAATAAAAAAAAAAAAATGTTAGTTATTTAATATTAAATGATTTATATTAATTATTAAATAATTAGTCAACTTACTTGGAGAATTGATTCCATCCGCACCAACTAAAATATTACAAAATTCTTGTGAACCATCTTCAAAAGATACCCAAACTCCTTCTTGAGTTTCTACGTATTTAACACATTTTTTATTCCATTGAACTGGTACACCTTCTAATAAAACATCTCGAAGTCTATCACGATAAGTGACAATGGTTGATAGACCACGAGAAATTTTTGCGAGTTCATAGACATCTTTATATGGTTTAATTGGAGGGGCCAATAGAACATTTCCTACTTGATCAGTGATATTTATTCCATGAGTTTCTACACCAGGAATTGGACTTGGCATTGCTTTTGGAAGGTTTGAAGCGATTGAGGACGGAATACAATTTAAAAGAGATTGAGTTCCATAATTGGTCAAACCGATATGATATCCTTGCCATCGATCTAATATGTAAAAGTACGAGTTAGTTATAACGTCGTTAACGTTAATATTCAATTAAAAATTCGAAATTTTTTATACCTGTAGGACTAGATTCACGTTCAAAGATTTTTACGTTGAATTCTTTTTTATCCTTGTTCTTGATCAAAGCATGATAAAGAGAAAGTCCTCCTAATCCTGCACCGACAATAAATATCGTTGGAATTTTTTCTTGTTGCATTCTTAATGAAATTATGATTTACAGTATATAAAAGTTTCAAAAAAAAAAGAAGCAGGTAAAAAAGTGTTATAATGTTTAAATTGTTTAAATGATTTTCTAATTGAATATATTTTAATGAATTTCTTGAAAACATTTTTCTAACGGATTTATTTATAAAAAAAAAAAAAAGACTGTGCCAAGTAACAAGATTTTATTACTGCGCAATACTATATACTTTTTTAGGATGTACATGTCGAATTTTGTCAAACAAGCAAAATGCCGATATTCAACCGACATTTTAATCGATATTTAACCTATATTAGTATATTTAACCGATATTTAACCGATATTTATCCGATATTAACTGATTATTTCTATTATTTCTGTTTCACGAACGGAATCTCGAATACCGTGAAATTACTATATATACGTCACAAGCCACAATTAAAAAAAGGTTATTCATTTTTTCAATGAGTTCCGTCAATAATATCAATAAATAGTAATATAAGAAAGATTTAAATTATTTTTCTAAAAATATGATATATTTTAATAATGATAATAATAAGAAAATGCGATGAATTATGCTGAACAACATTCTGAACATTTTTCTATTCGAAATTTAACCGAATTTTTACCGAAATTTAATTTTCCGGAAAATTATTTACCGAAAATTTTTTTTTTTTTTTTTTTTTTTTTTTTTTAAAAAAAAANTGATCATTACTCATTTAACTAAACACATTCGTCGAATTTAACCGAAATTTTACCAAAAACTTTTATAATTTCGTCGGAAAATTATTTACCGAAAATTTTAACCAAGAATTATTTATTTTTATTTTTTTTTCCCAAGAAATTTCTCTGTGGCGTAATGTGACTCAACGTGATAAATCATGAACTTTCAAATGATTCTTCTTATTATTTATTTAATTGGTTATTTACGAAAAAAATGTGACTAATTTATTAATGTTTTTATTGTTTTTTGCTTGTGTAATACTTGTGAGAAAATCATTAAAACTTTTTTCCGAATTTACCCATTATAATGATATTTTTGAACTAACCCGTCCCGTTTACCGGTTTTTTTTGCTATACAGTATCTATTATATTTTACTGTACATATAATATAATATTTTTTTTTTATATTTATGATTTCATGACCCACATTCTAAAAATTTCTAAACTAGTTTTTACTTCTTCAAATTCTTTTTGTACTTCCTTCCAATCTCGTTTTAATTCATCCATAGTAATATTATTTAATTCAGCTATCGCTTCACCAATTATGTCCACGAAAAACATTGTAGTATGATCTTCTAATAATACTCCTGATTCACCACCATTTTTACCAATATAAATTTCTTTTTGGTCAGAATAAAAATAAGAATTGGTTGATAAAATTGATTTTATGTGATGACGTGAACCCATTCCTACACCATTAGCTGAAAATAACATGGCGACTTTTTTATAATTAAAAAAAAAATGGAGAAAAAGATTATTAAATTATTAAATTATTAAATGATTAAATTATTAAAATTATTAAATGATTAAATTATTAAAATTATTTAATATTACGAATTAATTAATTAATTTTAATTTTTTTACGAATTTTGTAACTTACATCTTTGTATGAATTTTAAAAATTTTGGACCAATTGTTCCTGCAAAAGAATCAAACCCCTGAATCTTTATATAAAATAAAAAATTAACAATTTTAACCATCAACCATAATATTTCAGTAAAAGTATTATACTTACTTCTATATAACCACCTGGTTTCGTTACCCTTATTAATTCACTCATAATAAAAGCCCATTGATCTTTAGTATGACGTGGTTCAACTATGTTTAAATAAACAAAATCAAAATGATTTTGTTGAAAAGGTAAACCTTCCAATATATTAGCATGGATAAAATTTAAATTACTAGGTTTAATTAATGAGGGAAATAATTTTGTCTTTTCAATTCCAGTAAATTCTGAAAGTGAATATTCATTTGATAATTCTAAGAGAAATGTTCCGGCTCCACATCTTACATCTAAAACTTTAGCCCCATCATTTAAAGTATCTTCAATTGGAGAAGAAAAATTTGTGGACCAAATTGATTTAACGAGGAAATGATGTTGATGTAAATAATCTATATGTTCATTCACACTTGGAAACTTTGGAATTGATGATACCGGTTCTTGTTTCAATGAATTTTGAACTGTAATGTTTTCATTGCTTGATTGTTTTTTTCTTCTAAATGAATGATATCGTTTAGGAAATTTTGATTGTCCCGCTCCCATTTTATTATAAAGAAAGAAATAAATAAATTAAACATTTAAGGAATACGCCTCGAATTTATTCAAAAAAAAAAACAAAAAATAATCTTAAAAAAGTTACATTTTATGATTGGTTCATAATTGATAAAGATAAACTGATATAAACTGGTTACATATATTTATTATTATTGTGTTTCGTTTCTTTATTTATATTAATAATTACTGTTAAACGTCCAATTTCTATTTCTGGAAAATCAAAAACAATTCATTGAATTCGTACATACTACATAACTGCATGCGCGTCCCGACGTCCCGTGTGTGCCACAATCCCAGGGTTTTTGAATTACTTTATGACATAATTCAATAATTAACGTATAAAATTACCGTATTTTTTAATTTTTTTTATCCAAAGATGCAGGTAAGAATTTGAATGCTTCTAATGATTTTCGCGTTACAGTTACTCTACTTTTTTTGTTTTTTATTTTTATTTTCTTCATTTAAAGAAAAAAAAAAAAAATATTTATTTATTTAATACAGAAAGATTCTTATTTTTAGTATATAGTCTTAAATCGACGACTTTCGATCGATTCAGAGACTTCATTATGTTTTACTGCATTCAGAAATATTGGTAACTCCGACAAAAATAAATTCTACCATTAAAAGTTGGTGTATAATTTATTTATTTGAAATGTATTATGACATTTCACATCAACTGTTTTTTATTGTTTTTATTAAAATTTAAAAGTCTTACTTTATTAATTTATTTAAACGTTAGTACTTTTTTTTTGTACGATTACTTGTTTTAGTCATAAAATGATTTTGTTTCTTTGTATATACTGTATATGGTATATATTATTTATTTATTTATTATACTGCATTATTGAAAAAATTATTTCTATTCTATTTTGAGTCATTCAAATAGCAATAAATTTTATACTGCATAATAACTAATGCTTCTAGAAGCATTCGATAATATGATAATATATAAATAATTACTACAGTATGTAAATTCAACAGATTTTCAGAATACATATTATCAGCGTAATGTAATGTTATGATGAATTTGTTTAAAGGAGTGTTTATAAATACAGTATAATATTATTATATATATTAGTACATACAGTACGATACAATTACGGTACATAATGTGGTGCAACCTAGGGGGTTTTTCACCATTTTAAACGCCTTTTCATTATTGTTCTTTCCTTCTTAGTAATTTAAATAAGTAAATATTAGAAAATCTTTTTCTTTTGGAATGTTCTCTTTTTTTTTGTACGTAATCAAGAAAAATACGAATCGAAATAAAATACTGTATATAATACATTCCATGATTCTAGACCCTTTTTTTTTAATGGAAAATTGTGTGATTGAAAGTGTAAAAATATAAACTCCCGTCGATTTTTTAAATAACGACACGGAATCATACGAAGTTCTTTAAAAATAAATAAATAAATAAATAAAAATAACAATATTAAAAAAAAAGTTTAAAATAATATTTACAGAATTAAAACAAATATACAAAAAAAAAAAAAATAAAAATAAAAATAGAAAATTTTTTTACGTCAAAAAAAAAAAAAAAGTACAAAGTACTGTAAAATTATTTATTGGCTATTTTAAATTAATAATTTTATTAAAATGAAACGTTTTTTATGATAAGGTTTTTTAAACCAATAAACAAATTCTTTGACTTTTAAAACATCAAAGACCGGACATCGGGACATTTCGTGTTACCTTTGTGTAGAAATATATAATATAGTCTTTCGTTACACTTCATATATATATAAATAGGATGGGAGGATACTGAGAATTAATCTGAAGTCCCCCCAGATCAGTAACGCTTGATCTTCGCCGGTAAACAATTGGAAGATGGCCGTACTTTATTAAACTCTTAGTAAATAAAGAAGTAAATCATGGTTTGTACATTGCACCGTTCATAATAACTACATTTTATTATATAACGCCCATTATACTATTCTGAAGAAAGAAAAAAACGAAAATGTCAAATTGGCCGACATACAACGTTAAGGATCATTTGCTCTACAAAAGCATAAATACTGTATGTTGTTATGACCGATCGTATAATTATATAAATTGATTTCAAAAATTACGTGTTTGCTTGAAAAAGATTTACATAAAAGATTTACACACATGTACCCGCCATTATTAAATTTATTAAAAAATGCTTTTGATTATAAAAATTGAGTGACCAGAGTTAATAACGATCTTACTTCCGTGCCTTCGATAAATCCAAAGGATTTTATCTATACTTTTAATATAACACGAATTTTAACGACATTTATTAATTGTATTAAAAATTCTCAGATGATTAAAAAAAAATTGTTAATTTAAATTAAATCCTTTTGAAAACCCTTTTGAAAATTTGAACAACTTTCTCTATAAGGACTAACATCGTTTAATCGTTTATGTATATTTGTGGATATTTCAGATTATAAAATACGCTGAAATATCATCGAAATATATTTTATAATATACGTAAAATGTCCTGAAATCGATCATGTTTCGGGATATTTTGAGTAAATTCATGATATTTTAATAATATTTTCAGAGGAATTTTCCGAAATTCTTTTTTTATGAGTTATAAAACTTAAATTAGATCACATAAAATTGAAAATAATTTTTGGCTACTCGTGATCCATATTAAATAGTTATTGGATTGGAAAGACCGATATCCCTCATCAAATAACTGTCAGTCACTAGGAATGCTGCGGTGACCAATAGGAATTAATGTTACTAATAACGTTTTCAATATTGGATGTCTCATAAAAATATCGGTCATTAAAATCTTGCATATTCTTAATCAACTAAACAATAACTGATAACTTATATTAGTAAATTTATCGATAAAATAAAATTTCCCTTAATTTTTTTTTTACGTTTAATATAACAGAATCTATAGAAAAAATACTTTGATAATATGTAACCTTACATGAGAAAGGTTCCGTCTCAACATTCGTGACGTTTGATAACGTCCCGAATTCATGCATATTATGCACTTCTTTTTAAGTTCCGAAATACGACTATGGTTTATATACATACAACAAATCGGGATTGTTGATCTGGGATTTTGTGTAAGAATGAATGAATGAAAAGATCGGCTGACATCGGACATTAACGGACATTTAATAATAGTTTGTGGTGCAACTAGTTACGTAATTTTCCATATATCCGTATGGACAGTTTTTCATTTTTGTGTCACTTCTATTAAAGAAATTTCGAAAAGAAAAAAAAAATAAAATCAATGATAGATAAAAGGACTTGTTTCATCTGTATCTTATTGTATTGTCACGGGATATATTTTTTTTATTTTTATTTTTTATTTTTATTATTTTTATTTTTATTTTATTCTATTTTTATCTTTTTGCTATTTTTAGTTATTTTTAGTAATACTAGTGTTCACCTGTTGTCTACGACAACAGTTAATATGTAATTCCGGCCAGAATTAAAAGATCTGCAAAGAATTTCCTTTTTTGGAAATTTGAGCAACACAATTTTTTTAATTTCTCTGAAAAGTAACAGAAGACAAAATTTCCTTTTTTGGAAATTTGCGTAACCGACAATTTCCTTTTATGGAATCCCGTGTAACCCAAAATTTCAGTTTTTCGCCAGAAATAAAATTTCCTTTTTGGTCTTGTGTAACATTGGCGACGAATAGGAGTAGGGTTACACAATTCAAATGACTTATTTATATGGTTAATCTAAACATAACGCCCACGTGATTGCAGTGTTTTTAAATATATAGATTACTTGTAGTCGTTTATGGATTAGATAAAAAGCGGAAGCTTAGCGATGTAAGGTGGCTGAATATAAGTGGCTGTATAGACAAATGTGCCCAGATCACCACAATTGGCCGGGAGACGATATTGGCCGGGAGACAATTATGTCCGAAGGACAGAATCGTCCTAAAAATTTAATGTTATATAAAGGACGGTGTTGAAGGATAGAAGTGATAGTTCAGTTTAGAATTCGTTTAGTTTTATTGTTATAAGATAGATATCGGGATATTACAGAGCGCCGATTGAGGCAGTAATATCGTATTCTTTTTATTAACGAATAAACCTGTTGATTTGCTTCCGAATTATTTATACACGTTTTATCACGTATTGTTATTGTTTATCATTGTTTAATATCGTTCACTATTATTATCATTTATTAATATTTGTTGATTTTTACTATACATCATTGATTTTCATATACATCGCATAAAATTGTTTTTATATACACATCACCTGATCTACCTTTAATTTATCCCATCACTTATTATCGCCTATAATCTGTAATCGTTCATTATCGACTATTAATATATTTCATTATCGACTATTAATATACAGTCAAACTTTGATGTACTGATACTGTCAGGACAGGAAAAAAATATCGGTAGATCGGAATATCGGTATATTATAAAGAATTTTATGTAACGATATTATTATAGTATGTTGATCTATATCGTTATAAAAAAAAATTTTTCCAATTATTTTAAAATAAAATATTATTTATTATTAATAAATTGTATTTGAGATTAGTATTTTATTAATGCATGATATATAACGTTATATTACAAGATTTGAACAAAATTATCTAATGTAATTTGTTTTGAATTATTGACATATGATTTTAATACTTGACGCCTTAATTTTTGCAACATAATTAATTCATTAGAATCAATAGGAACATCAGATGAATGCTCAAAAAACACAATAAGTTCATCCAAATATTCTAAAGCTCCTTTTTTTGAAATTATTTCTAAAGGTTCCTCATTTAGATTTTCTTTTGATTCATCATTATTTGATTTTACCATAGAGATAATTTCATCATCAGTCAACCCTTCGTCACCTTTTAAACAATCATCTATATGAAGAAATTCATTTACGTCCACATATGGGCTGATTGGAAAAGTCCCCAATTTTTTTGGGGGTCACTTTTAATTCATATTCCGATCAACAATTTTATATACGATCATATTAGTAATATGATCGTTATTGTTAACTTCATCATAAAAAAATCAAAATCTTGTTAAGGAGATATTAATAAAAAATGGAATTTAATGAAACTCCTTTACCATCTCAACAAGTTATAAAAAAGAATTTTGTTGAAATCCATAATTATCCTGAGAAACCTATTATTGAGTATTCTGAAACTGGACGAAGTTACACCTATAACATTATTGAAGAAGGAAATTATCCGCCCGTTGCTTATCTTAAATACACAAAACGTCAGAATGGATTTCGAATTCCTGACAACTATGAAGTTGAAATGAGCTGGGGAAAGCCTAAAAAAAGGCATTTGGTCAGGTGTATAATTAAATATGTAGATAATAATCCAATTTATTGGGTGTGTTATGGAAATAATTATCAACACCAAATAAAATCAGAAAAGTCCTGTTCCGATGCAGCAAGTTTATATGCCAAANGTAGTGCTCCTACCGGGTCGGATTCGGTCGGGTTTGGAGAATATATCCGACTCGACCCGGCAAAAATAGAAATGATCCGATTTTGACCTGACCCGAATATATTTAATTCGAATAACCCGGGTTAGACCCGAAATTTAGTAATTTTCAATATATATATTGGATAATATACTGTACACTTAGTAATATATCAGAAATATTTTTTTCAAATATAATTTTTTCATTAATGCAAGGCAATTGATCTACAAGATAATCATATAGGTCTCTCAACTTTTTATTATTAGAACTAATGCTAAGCACGAATTTAACGATATATATCTTCAATTCCTATTTTATATTTGAACTATAAAATCGAAATTGTATCACTTGCTTTAACAAAAATTTGACTATATTTTGTGTCTGCCAGGACTTAAAGCAGATACAATTAGAACATGCATGTGTTTAAAAACTACATCCTTTTGCAGCTATCAAATAGGTTCCACTGGAAAATACTCTTTCTACTGGGCTTTATTAATCATCAAAATCAACTTATTAGTTAATATAATGTTAATAATTAATAATAATAATTTATATACATACCTGTAATTGCAAGGTAGTCTCTAGCCATTTTCGCTAAGTGGGGATATACTACCTCATTTGTCTAACAATATTATATAAACGTAATCAATATTAACACGTAATCAATATGTGATCAGTGATTTTAATTATCATCCGGGTCTAATTCGGGTCAAAACCTGAGTCAAGGAAATGAATGACCCGACCCGACGGGTCGGGTCATGCGGGTCACGGGTTATTAAAATTGTTAATACTGACCCGATTTAAAATTCACTCGGGTTGAATTATCCGGGTTAGACCCGAATTTTGCGGAGCACTACTGCTGACATGTTATGTGAATCTTTCAATTCAATGTTAGTAAATTTGGAGTTTCTTTTTTTTTCAACTTTCATTCGTATTAGGGTATTAGAAGTAGAAATTTTCCACAGGCTTTGTAAGTTTATTATATAATCTTTGTGTAAAAATTTTTTTTTAAAAATAATTTTCTATTTTTGTGTAAATATTGCGCAACACATAAAATTTTTATAAAAAAACTAGCCGTAACCCGTCGCGCTGCGCCGGGATATATATTAATTACATATTATAGTATTATGTATTGAAAAGAAAATTCTGATTTATGTTTAGAAATTTTGTTACTTATATAATACTAAATTTCGTTTGTAATTAGAAATTTGAAGAATTGAAAGTAAATAAATAATTCAAAATAAAATAAATAATAAAAATTAAATAAAATAAAAATTTAAAAAGGTGAAAAAAAACCTAAGTAAGGGATCTGAAAGGTAGTCAGTACCCTTAGAAAAATTTTTTATAAGAAAAGACTGAAGTAGTTATGTAGATTTGTATTTAATATTAGACTAACAATTTAATTTTAAGAAGACATTGTACAATACTGAACATATAGCATATGGGCTGATCGGAAAAGTCCCCCAATTTTTTTGGGGGTCACTTTTAATTCATATTCCGATCAACAATTTTATATACGATCATATTAGTAATATGATCGTAATTGTTAACTTCATCATAAAAAAATCAAAATCTTGTTAAGGAGATATTAATAAAAAATGGAATTTAATGAAACTCCTTTACCATCTCAACAAGTTATAAAAAAGAATTTTGTTGAAATCCATAATTATCCTGAGAAACCTATTATTGAGTATTCTGAAACTGGACGAAGTTACACCTATAACATTATTGAAGAAGGAAATTATCCGCCCGTTGCTTATCTTAAATACACAAAACGTCAGAATGGATTTCGAATTCCTGACAACTATGAAGTTGAAACGAGCTGGGGAAAGCCTAAAAAAAGGCATTTGGTCAGGTGTATAATTAAATATGTAGATAATAATCCAATTTATTGGGTGTGTTATGGAAATAATTATCAACACCAAATAAAATCAGAAAAGTCCTGTTCCGATGCAGCAAGTTTATATGCCAAAGTATGAGTATTATTTTATTATATTAACTAGAGGCAATAGTTTATATTTTAAAATTATTAATATAAAAATTTATTTTTATTTGTAATAGGCTTTAGATCCAGAAACTAAGACACGCCACTCAGGACCATATGTATTTGGTCTTCAATTAGAAATCCTTCAGCAGGCAAGAAATGCCAAGAGGCATGCAGCAACCTTAAAACCATTTGACAATTTAACTTTAACTGGACAAAATAACCGCGCCAAAAAAATTGCAAAATCTGTTCATGCAATATTTGACCAAACAGCAATCAAAAGTTGTCATTTGGAAGATAAACCTATTTTAAAATCAATTGAATTTGATATTAAAGACCAACCTTTTCATATTAATATGGGGGAGGAAAATGTTGAAGACATGAAACATAAAGTAAGAGCTACTGTTCAAGCGTGTGATAGAGGGCAAATAGCACGTGATGGATATCGAACGTTAGCATTGGTTAATCATAATTTGCCACGTGAATGGAGAGTGTCATCAGAAAGAAAAGAAATTACATGTGAAATAAATAAACTTATACCAATTTCACTTGTTAATTTAACATCACAATTGTCTAATAATGATTATATAAATTCAGAAGTACATATTGATGATGCTGAAATTATTGATAACATGCAACAATCAATTGGAAAAAGTGGAAGGCAAAGTATTATTGATATTTTAAAATATCTCATACCAAATCTTGTTAAAAGAGAAGTGTTATGTATGACTCATCCAGAAATTTATTTACAAATTTCTGGTGATGGAAGGAATGTTGGGAAAAAAGTTAAGCATGTAATGATTACTTTCTCAATTCTTAATGATAAAAATAAACTACATCAAACAGAAAATCATTATACTACAACCTTATATCCTGGTATTGAAAAATATGAAATATTGAATATTGTATTGGAACATTTAATTGTAGAATTGAGAAAGTTAAAAGAAGAAGGATTGGAAGATAATAATGGTGTGAAATGGAAAATTAATCTTTATTTTTCATCTGATTGGAAATTTCTCGTGATCTGTTTGGGAATGAATGCTGCAAACAGTAAATATTTTTGCCCATGGTGTGAAGTATCCAAAGAACAACAGGGAGATTTTTCATATAATTGGACAATAAGTAAAACTATAGATCAATTTGCGAAAATTATAAAATTTATAAAGGTCATATTCAACCACTGCTTTTTGATATGATTCCATTGCAAAATTGGGTTCCAGACGAACTCCATATGATGTTACGCATTACAGATGTTCTTTGGCGATTGGTACTTGATGAAATCAGATCTAGAAATACTTGGGGAGATAAAGCAAGAAATGTAATAATTGAAGAAATGAAACGTATTGGTGTTAAGTTTAACTTTAGGCTTGAAGTAGGATCAACTAATTGGCAATTTACTTCTTTGATGGGACAGGATAAATTAACTGTACTTCAACATTTTGATCTTAATAAACTTTTTCCACGTTCCCGAGCAGCTCAAATTCAAAATTTATGGAATAATTTTTATTTACTTCACAAAGCAGTGAAAGATTCCAAAACTGATGTGGTACAATTCTCCAATGATGCACGTGAATGGCTACACCAATTTTTAGATTCTAGCTTTTATCAAGCAAGTGATATCACGCCATACATGCATGTACTAATGTATCATATTCCAGAAATGATGCATATTCACCGTCAATTTGGTTTGGCTGCATTTTCTTGTTCAGCTGTAGAAAAAAAGAATCACCAACAAGTTTCTCATTTCTTTAGAAAAACAACAAAAGATGGTGGTGGGAGAAAAGGAAGAAAGTCTGCAATTATAGATATTCTTGAATATGAAAATAGAACTTTATATTTTAATAACTGCGATGAAATTGATTTAGTTCCAAAACCAAAACGTCTTTGTATATAAAGGCACGAAAAAAATCATCAATTTAAAACTTAATGTTTATTTAAATAATTATGTAAAATTAAAATTTGTAGAAAAAGTATTTATATGAAAAATAATTTTTTAAAAAGCAAAGCCGCGAAAACTTAATTTTTAATATAATTTTATTTATATATGTACAATAATATTATGTTTACAAAATAAATTTAATTTTTTTTCTATTTATTTTATCTTATAAATTTTTATTATCATCACCCTTTCCCATGTTCATCTAACAATTCTCATACGTGAAACTGTAAAATTTATGAAAATAAATCCTGATGAATAATTAATATTATGCACGTCTGATTTTATTTTTTTTCTCCATCCAATAATAATTTGTACAGGTTTTGGTTTGTGAATCCGTCTTTTTTTAGTTTGATCTTAAAGAGGATCGAGTTCTTGAAGAGGATCTGGCTCTTGAAGAGGATCGAATTCTTGAAGAGGATCTGGTTCTCGAAGAGGATCAGGATCATTTGGATTTGATGGTAGATGGTATGATAAAACAAATGTTTTCTGATGCTGTGAAAAATATTTAGCACCCCAATTGTCATCTCTCAATATAAGTGATAAAGTAGAGTAAGTATCAACGCCTTTAAATATACATTTATAATTTCCCGTTCTTGGATAATAATTATGTATATACCCCTTGAAAACACCAAAAAACTGACTCTCCGTGCAATTAACCATAATGTAAACATTTCCAGCATGTCTTGAATGCTGTTTCAGTCTTTCTTTTATATGATAAACTATCATTTTTCGCGTCTCTTCAATTGCTCCTTCAGGCAAATCATATATTGTTGGCTTTATAGTATTAGCATCTTTAATGAATTTTTCATGTTTAGCTAAGCTTGAATGTCATTTATAAATCTGTTCACACATTTTACATTCCAACATGTTGCAAGGCGTATTATTTAGAGTCAACATTGTTAACATATTTTTATTTTTTTTTAAAAAAAGAAATAATTAACCCAAAAAAATTAGTTAACGTAGTTTATAATAAAAAAAAGGTCTTTTTTAGGCTAAAGTAACATGATATTAAACTCAGTTGCTTACTATAAAATTTACTGATGGGTTCCTTATATAGTTGATGGGTTGCTTAGTATCGTTAATATTCAAAATCGTTTTTAAAGTCCCGAAAACACCCTATTTTGTGATTTACAATAATTCGCTAAGCCACCAGATCCTATGATCTATGTTACACACAAAAGAATATGGTGACATAAAATTAGGCCCAATTTTTCTCATCCGCCCATATGATAAGATCATTAAACGGGAGCTCATAAATTAGATCTTGCAATGCCAATTTATCACGAATTACTTGTTCATCATAACCACCAATTTCGTTATCTGTTTCATCCAAATCACCCAGTGGAAGAATTTTTGTATGCTGCCAACAGTGAAAAATTGTCTGTTGACTTACAGCATTCCATGCATCTTTACTAAAATTAATAGCATCATAGATGTTTAAAAGAATGACTGCCTTATTTAATTCTTGTGAAATTTCATATGCTTCAACTCTGTTTCTAACAAGTAATTTTCGATACTGAGTCTAAATTATTAAAAAATTGATAAAATTAGAATTTACTTTGCAAAATATATTTTATTTGCAAATTAATAAGAAGTATTATTTACCTTAAATGAATTAATTATTCCTGCATCGCAAGGCTGTAAATGAGCTGTAGTATTTGGTGGCAAATAATGCACAGCCACATTTGTTAAATTTGTATTTTCATTTATTATATGTACTGGAGCATTGTCAACAAGTAAAAGAATGTTGCGATGCTGCAACCGCATTTGTGTATCCAACTTCATAAGATAATCATTCCATATTGAAACTTGCATCCAGGCGGTTGAGTTCCAATAATAATTAACTGGTAATTCCTCCTTTTTTTTCCATTTAATATTCGTGGATTTTGATATGCATGTATAAAGAGTGGCTTTAATTTTTCAGTTCCAGTTGCATTGCATGTAAGGAGGAGAGTTACCCGCTTTTTGGATTTTTTTTTTCCAGAAAGTGGACCTTTTGCTAACGTTTTTGAAGGTTCAAGGTCCCAGTATAATCCTATAATAAATAAAATAAAATATTAGATATTATTTTGTTATTTTTTGGCAAAATTTATAATGATTACCTGTTTCATCACAATTAAAAACATCATTCAAATCATAATTTTTAATAATTTCGCGTAATTTTCTTCTTTCTTCTTCTAACGTTTCTAGCGGTGCACTTTTTGCTTCACCCCATTTAACATATTCCTTTAAATGGTGACGCTGTTTAAATTTATCTATCCATCCAGTAGAAGCCACAAAATTATCAATTTCAAACCCCCTTGCAAAAATTTTTGCTTTTTCACGTAAAATATCACCATTAATTACAATCTCTGCAGAAAGTGCATTAGTTACCCATAACGCAAGAGCCTCTTCTACTTGAGGAAAGCAAGGTGGTCTTTCTCTCTGTTTGTTTGCTTCTTCTGAATCAGGATCTACAAGCAACCACTTGTCTTTTTTTTTTAAAATATCTGAGACGGTGTTTTGCTTAATTTTATATATAACAGCAAGTTCTTCTTGAGTAGGTCGTGGTGTTTGTTCATAGTCCAAACAGAGTTGATGTTTCTGTGCATGTGTTAACACAACTCTTTTCTTTGTCTGAGAAAAATCTTGAACATCTTTTCTTCTTTTTTGTTGAGGCATGATTTGTGTAAAACGCGAAAAGTATCTTTTTGATTAATCAATTCTTTAATTAAATACATCTTTTAAAAATGGCACATGCTTCAAAAAAGTGTTTAAAAAGCAAAAAAGTTTAGTCACATGCTGGTGTAACTTAGATTATCGGTACATATTATTATACAATTACTATAAAGGGACAAAGAAAAAGTATCGTTACATGTTACATCGTGAAACTCTATATAATATCGGTATAACAAGATTTTTTTATTAATTATGAAACGGGATAATTGAAATTTATCGGTACAGACCATTTATCGGTATATAGAATATCGGTACATCGAAGTTTGACTGTATACACTTTTACCGTTATATATCGTTATATTACTTCATCACTAATCAACCGATCCTCATTTTTCTTTCTGTTACTACCTAGATCCATGCAGATCATAACTGGTTGGTAATTAAAAATCATCCTTTTTTAAGGTGGTATAGCTGCATGTAATAATTGTTATTGTTAACGTTAATGACATCGAATATTCCGTCTTTACCTTTAATATATAGAAAATAAATTATGAGAAAAAGAATGAAACGGGATAGTGTAATTACATAATTACATAATTACATTTTAGTCATTGCATAAAAAAAATCACGAATATTTAGATTAAATCGCGAAATGATCGTCTCAAACAACGACACTTGTTTGTTTCTATAAGTTTCGTCATAATTTGTGCTTATTGCCTCATCCTAATAACATCCAAATACTATTCCTTTTAATATATATATGTATGGTATAAGTACGATATAATTCATAATAAATAATAAATTTTAAACGAAAAATAATTCTCAATCAAGATTGTCTTACTTTAACAATTGAAAAATTATATGAGAATAAACATAATTCTTTATTCTCATGTTTATTAGTTAATAGAATATGGTGTAGAATAGTAATACCAATAATTTGGAAAGATCCTTGGTTTATATTATCAAAAATAAATAATGAAGAAATTTTTTTTAAAAATTCAAAATTACTTTTAAATATTATTTTATTACATTTATCAAAAGAATCAAGAAATTATTATTATCGCTGTTTTCAATTTAGTGCGACACCCCTAATTTTCATCATGTTATCATAGGAAATCGGGTTTTCAGATTTTTCACGTGATGATCAACATTAAAAGCAAATAAAATTATTGTTACGACGCGTGAGAAATTATTGATGGCCAATAAAATTAACTGTATCACGTGATTAATTTCGAACGAAAAAAAAAAAGAAAAAAAGTACAATTTTAAAAATTAATAACTATGTTTCCTGTGATTTAATTTAAATAATTTTTAATATTCTGAAAGAACAAACAAAGCTTGTCCTAATACTTTAAAATTATCTTAATCTGACATGACTATACATGGTTATAACCATTTAAATATACATAATACTAATTAAAGCATAAATTATGTGAAATATATAGTTTGTTCAATAAAACTTAAACCTATTAAAATATAAATGAAAAAAACACTTAATTAGCATTTGTTTAGCTTTATATAATTAAATAAAAGTAATATTTTTGTTCGAAAGTATAACTTTTAAGACAACTTTTTGCATAAAAAGAAAATCGATGGAAATCTGTAAAACTTCATAACTTGAAAACCAACTCTTACCTGGTAAATATAATACTTATAACTTTGCAAGTGTATAGTTTGTCATAAAAAGTTTATGAAATCATGGGAAATTTACAATGAAATAAATTTAACAAAAAACTTTTATTAGAAGCAATTGAAAAAAAATAGAGGAAATCGGGGAAATCAAATTAGATTTACATCTGGTTATACAATTAGGGGCAATAAACATAGAATTTATTTTAAAAATGGAAGTAATATTTATGATGAAATTTTTCATTTTTATAATGATTTTCATTATTAAATGTTCAAATATTAAATTTTTGGATATTATTGGAATTTTACAACCATTTTATAAATATCCAGAAGCAGAAATCAGGATTTCAAGAATTACAATGTAAAAGTAATGATAATCCATTACTTTTTAATAAATTGGCTCAGATATGTAAATTTATTCAAAAATTTATCATCATATATACAAATTCAAATATTGAACTCTCAAAATTAATTGTCACAATTAAAAGTGAAATATATAAAAATTTTTTATATGATAGAAGATGATGATATATTAATTTATCAAGCAATTATGAAACATTCAACAACTATTAATTATTTAGATTTAACAATTGAAAATAATATAAATTTGATAAATATTTTATTACCAAAATTAATTATTAAAATTATTCAAAATACTGAAGGAAATT